TTCGACAACAACTCGTCAACGGAAGTTAGTGAAAATCGGTACCCTGTAAGAAGCAATAAAGGTGTACCCCCCGTAAGGCTTATGGCAGGTATGGCCACGCAAGAACCAAGTACTTTTCAAGAGGCAATGACGTCAGGTAAAGAGAAATTAAAGGTATTCCACTACGATGTCAAAACTGCATTTCTCAACGGGGATATAAAGGAAACCATTCTGATGAAGCAACCTGAAGGCTTTGAAGAGAAAGGTAAAGAAAATTTTGTCTGCAAATTAAAAAAATCAATTTATGGATTAAAACAGTCAGCCAAAGTTTGGAACGACAAATTAAATGAAGTTTTAAATAAATTAAATTTTACTCAAGGAAATGATGATTTTTGTTTATTTGTTAAAGTGAGTAAAAATGTAAAAATTTACTTAATTATTTATGTTGATGATTTAATAACACAGGCCTACAAATTTTAGACCCAGAAACCGGAATAGTCATTTCCGATGTAATTTATCACGCTAAATCCAAAAATGACAAGCAAATTGCTCTATCACGTTAGCATTTTGAGATATTCTAACCTAAAAGTGTAAAAAATGCCGTTTTTGGCAATATTTGATACTCTATAAAATCGACAAAATTTTTGTTTAATCATTCGTCCAAATTTCAAAAGAAAGTATTATATTTCCCCTCTCAAAATTTTCTTGGCTCGATCTGATCCAATTTTTTTTCTCTGAGATACAAACATTTGCGTTTTACATTGCATGAAATAAAATCCCTTTAAAAAAGAAAAATAAATTGCGAAGTACTCATGGCACTGAAAATTGTTACTCAGGGGGTTTTAAAATCGCTAATTACGAATGTGATATCAGATTCAAAAATCTGACATTTAATTCGTAATCAGCGACCCTAAAAACCCCCAAGTAATTAATGACAAGTGAATTCGGTAAATTTTTTAAAAAGTGTCCGCCATATGGGATTCGACATTTTGAAATTCAAAAATCTGACGTCAGATTCGTAATTAGCGACCTCAAAAATACCCGTGAAATAAGTTTCAGTGATATGAGTACTTTGCAATTTATTTTTCTTTTTGAAAGGGATTTTAGTTCATGTAATGTAAAACTTAAATGGTTGTATCTCAGAGAAAAAAATTGGATCAGATCGAACCTAGAAAATTTTGAAAGGAGAAATATAATACTTTCTTTTGGAATTTGGACCAATGATTAAAAAAATTTTTTGTCGATTTTATAGAGTGTCAAATATTACCAAAAACTTCATTTTTCACGCTTTTAGGTTAGAATATCTCAAAATGCTGACGTGATAGAGTAATTTCCTTGTCATTTTTGGATTCAGCGTGACAAATTACATCGAAAATGACTATTCCAGTTTCTGGGTCTGACAAAATCCAAAATTTTGTAGGCCTGTGTAATTGCATGCAAAAGTGAAGATGAAATAATCAATACAGGAAATGAATTAAAGAAACATTTTGAGTTAACAAATTTAGGGAAAATTAAAAATTATCTCGGCATTCAAATCAATCAAGAAAATGACGAGATATTCACAATCAACCAAAGTCAATATATTAAAAAGGTACTAGAGTCAATAGGATTAGAAAATGCGAAACCATCGAGAATCCCAATGGATACAGGCTACATGAAGATGAGAAAAGAAGAATCACCAATGCAAGATAACAACAAATACAGAAAACTCATCGGGAAGCTGTTATACATCGCTACAAACACCAGACCGGACATCATGGCAAGTGTTGCTATTTTAAGTCAACACAACGCAAGTGCAACGGAAACTGACTGGAATGAAGCTAAGCGAGTCGCCAGGTACCTGAAAGATACAAAAGATTTACACCTGAAATTAGGGGATCCCAACAATGAAGAATCACTAATTGGATATGCGGATGCAGACTGGGCTCAAGAGAAAGAAGACAGAAAATCTAATAGTGGTTTTATATTTAAATTTTTTGGAGGATCTATCAGTTGGAAATGTAAGAAACAAGATTGTGTATCTTTATCGTCAGCTGAAGCAGAATACATTTCACTGGCAGTAGCAACTCAAGGAGTATGGATTAAGCAACTTCTGGAAGACTTTGGAATTAAACAACAAACTCCGTTTAAAATATTTGAAGACAATCAAGGTTGTTCAAAAATGTTTATTAGTTTAAATGTTTAAATAGCTACAAAATAGCATTATGCTCGCGATTTAAAAAGTAAAAAGATTGTAGAGTTTGTTTATTGTCCAACAGAATTTATGACAGCTGATTTGCTAACAAAACCTTTAAATTATATTAAATTAGAATATTTTAGAAAAGAATGCGGTTTGTTTTAAAATTTCTAAATAAAGTTAAATATTCATATCGTTGAGGAAGGGTGTTGGAAGTGCAACGATGTTAGCTAAAAACATATTAGCAGAAATATTGTAAAGATCTTAATACAAACATTTTTGGGTACAGAACTTAGGTATGTCTTAGGTATGAAGAGTAATAAATAAAGGGTCTAGGGGACCCTTTATTGCGAATACATGCGAATACATGTTAAAATACATTTTCGGTACAAAAATAAAATTCCAAAAAATCTGTAATAACTAATATTTTTCATTAATGTTTATACTAATAAATATTGTGTCACATGTGTAATTAACTGTGTATTTTATTTAATTTCCTGATTATAAATTATCTGAAATAAGGGATTTTTCCAATAAATTTATTAAATTGTTTAAAAGAAAAATTCCTTCATTAGTTTCATGTAACAATTGTTCTTCTAGAATCAAAAGATCACTTAACTCTTTTAATATTAAAGAATTACACAACGACACTAAAAGTATTTTGCGTAGAATTATTCCAACTATTTTCTCAAGTGTCGGAATTTGTAACAATGCTGCAACTACTATCAAGAAAGAGATAACAATTGAACATATTTGCTGCCCTATTCACAAAAATGAAGTTATGGAACAATTTATCAATCTCAGTACAACTTTATATTTGCGTTCTGTAAGTTCCTTCTTAGATTGTCTGTTGCGCGGAAAGATTTCTTTTAATTTGGAAAAATACCCTCAAGCAAACATGTTTGTCATGAAAGCTATAAGTAAGTACGATTCATCTTTGAAGAATAAGTATGTAACAGGGATAGGGCAGGGGCAGGGGATATCTACGAGTCTTTTGGTAGGAGTGAGAGTGTATCTGCATTGACTCTTGATATCAAGGGTGCTTTCAGCGCCATAATACCGGAAACAATTATACAGGAGATTAGACAGCTCAGAATCCCTACTAGAATTACATATTTTGTGAGTTTCATGATTTCTGAAAAGAAACTGTCTTTTTCACAAAGTGACGAAAAGGGTACAATATCTGACATAGGGGTTCCTCAGGGGGGAGTTTTGTCTCCATTTCTATTTAGTCTAACTCTCTGGTCAATTGGGTATCATTACCAAAAACCATTATTCTCAAGAACCAGAAATGTCTGTGTTGTTAATCAAACTATAAATTTAGGAGAACAGACAATGGATGGATTAAAGCATATAAAATACTTGGGGATACTAATAGATCAAAAACTTTTGTGGAATCAGCACATGAACGCGGTTATTGCAAAAGCTAGTAGAGCAAACAATGTTATTAAAGTCCTGGCCGGTGTATCAAGGGGCGAATATCTGGTGGAAAGTCACTCAGAAAGTGTCTATATATACACATATGTTACATTCAACCCGGATACCCTAAGGGCGGCAATTTCAATTTATGTACCAGCTAAAAATGTACAATATGAAGTAAGAGTATCATCGTTTCATACGGTGAAAACTTTGGAAGGTCTGGCAATATTGTCGGCCATACAATATTCAACTACATTTGAACTTAGAAATATAATGATACTTCCGGACTCGCGGGATATTGTTATGGATCTGTCAAAGCCAATTTTGGGTAATTTTAAAAGTTCGAAAATAATACAGGAACTAAAAGTTATGACAGATAAATATCAGGCAAAAGGTTTAGGAGTAGTAAAGTTTATGTGGATTCCGGATCATGTGAGCATTGTAGAGAATGAGAGGGCGGATGTGCTGGCGAAGATGGCGACTGAGTTTCCTGTTACTGTCAGAAATAAAGTTATGTATGAGGACATGAAAAAGGCGATTAAAATTGACTACAATTTCTGGGGTTTACTCTGTTGGCCATACGGCTCGACGTCCGAGTCAACAAATATGTATTATGATGAGGTCAATGTTAAAACTAAGAGACCTTGGTTCAGTAAACTGCTTGCGGAAATATAGTGGGTAAGTTTGATCACGAGAATCAGAACGGGACATTTTTGTACAGCTGAGTATTTCGCTAGATTTAATATGGATGTTAGTCTGGTTTTTATATGCGGTTTTGAGTACATGGACACGGTGGTCTAGAAGCAGTCACAGGTATGACAAAAATGGGTATAAAAAGTACAAAGTGGGTTTTATTTGTGACTATTTCTAGTTTAAAAATTCGTTCAGACCAAAATCCTAGAGCCCCCTATTCTCAAGATATCGTCATTTCCGTTTTTTCAATCTTCTTGCGCAAAGTCAAGCGAAAAGTGCTCGCCTTTCTTACTTAAATATTTATGTTTTTATTATTTTTATTTAATCTTAAACGTATATTTATTATTAAAAAAATAATGGTATGTATGTAAAAAAATAAGCTATTAAATGACAATATTAAACCGTAAAGGTTTGAAATGAAAATAAAATATCAATACCCCGTAAAAAACTTTCGAATTTAGATCAATATTGAATGTTAAGTTGAATTCTGCATAAACAAAATCCTGTAATCATATGAAGTTAGTCGTTTTTCAATAGATTCAACGTTTGACATTTTTAATTTGTCAATATAACCTTTGCTTTCAACTACAACAGTCGGCCATATTGGATTATCCATTTTGAATTTCTGAGGCTATAATCGGTATCAGCGACTTTTTTTAAAAAAGAAAGGTGACAAATTATCAAAATAGATGGAAAAAAAGTGACAAAATCAAAATAAGCTAAAAAGGAGTAATTAATTTTTTTCATTCTGTTCTTTATTTCCTTATGCCTACTACATTACCATTCAAACAATTCAACAATCATTTAATCAATGGTAAAAAAAATGTTTAAGTAGTATTAAAAATAGAATAAAGCTCTGTTTCAAGGGAAAGAACGTTAAAAATAAAAAGAAACCTATATTAATGTAGAGAAAAGAAATCTGAATTCTAGAAAAGAAACATCCAATAAAAAAGTAAAGAGCTAATTAATGAATATACTTTAAAATCATAAAAATGACAAAACAATTTTAGAAACTAATAAAATTTCTTTAAAAAAAAGTAAACAATTTGCAAATTAAATGAAATATTTATAAAAATAAAAGAAAATTTAAACGAAAAACTAAAAAAAAAGAATATAATTAAATCGACAAATATTAATCTAAAAGGAAATAAAGAGAAACAATATTAACAGTTTATAGTTGAAAGGCGGAATTCCAAATAATATTTGGATTAAAATTAAAAATAAAGATAATATTATAAAAAAGATGGGTTTACCAAAAGGTGTACCATTTTAAGAAATATGGTACTTTTTAATAGATTCGCTGAATGTCAAATAGCAACAAAAAATGATTGACAATTGTTTTCACTTCAACGATATGTCTCGTAATAAATTATTTACAGAGTTTTAAGTAGTCTTCCAGTTGTTTTTTTTTTCTTTTTTCTAAAGTAAATTTTTTCCAAATTTATTCAATTCAAACTTTAAAAAAAAACATGAAAAACGCATCAACGTACCACATGCTTAATTAAAAAAAAAAGCTTTGACTATTATGAAATAAATTAATTTTTCTTTAATTCGTTAGCCAACACGTCACTTGCGTTATATTTCATTTTAATAAAAATAATAATCATTTAAATGTACTAGTTTTTTTTACTAGACTAATTCATTTTTTTTTTAAAAAAGTAAATTCCCTTATTATTAAAATCTATACGATGAAATATTTTACAAACAAGACTTTTCTATTTGTATTTGCAAAATATTTTTTTGTCTCTTGTCTTGCGATAATATTTCTTCAAAACAAAGAGAATATTTTTTCTTTTCTTTTTCTTTTTGGAGACAACTGAAAATCTTCTTTTTTTAGTTTCATTTTAAAATGTTTTGAATATTCCTCAATAATATTCTTAACTTACAAATTAACAAGTTCACAAATTTTCTTCTTTGTTTTCCACAGATGAAAAATTAGATATCTTCATTAATATGTGAACGTTGTTTCAAAATTAAGTTTTAAGAATGTAAATTTATTAAGGCTAGGGTAATATTAGTGTCTAATTCACTATCTTTTTTTTTCTCACTTGGACCCAAAGGACTTTCGTGATTTCATTTGTAACTCAAAGCGTCGATTTGTTCGTACACCTTTTAAAATGTCTCGCCTCGCGTTCAACTTCTTTTCACTGAAAAATGAAAATAACAACGATAATCAGACAATTTTTTCTGTAAACCGTATAAAGAAAAATGAAATAAATTTTTTTTATACACCTAATATTAAAAATAAGGTTCTTTTTAAATAAAAATTGAATATGTAAAAAGTTTTGTTTAGTCAGGGTATTCAACAAATTTTTGAAAAAAAAATTCAAGGATTTTCAAGATCTAAAATAATTTTTTTCAAGGTCCACTTTGGACGTGGAAAGTCGAGAATTTTATAAATTTTCAGAATAAAAGAAGAAATTGCGAGAAAATTGAGAATTTCTGACTAGTTTGTAAAAGTAAATAAAATTATAAATTTTATGAATTGCAAAAAAATGAAAATTGAATGGAAAAATCGATTTATTTAAAAACGAAAATTTTTAATAAAAAAATTTAAGATAAAAAGTATTAAAAAAAAGAAATTGAAAAAAATTCAAAAAAATTAGAATTTATTAACAATCAAAAAAAAAATTCAAGGATCTTAAGGTCCGCTGGACATTCTGTTTGTTTTCTAATTCTATAAAAATATTTTTTTTGTTTTTTAATTTTTAATTTTGCTGCTTTTTACCTTGTCATCGAAATTGGTTTTTTGCTAATGGTTTCCACAGCTTCGGTTTTTCGCATTTTAAATCCAAATCGATTGTAAACGCCATTATGCAATCGCAACTCGAGACGTTTTTCATTAGCACCTACTGGCATTGCTGAAAATAGAGCAAAGTTCATTAGAAAAATGAAAATAATTAAAAAATTTACTTTATAAATTAAAATAGATTTTTAACAAAAGATAATGTTCATTTTAAAAAAATCTATGAATTAATCAACAAATTGGTTTATTTCTAACAAAAACTCTTAAATTGATTTTTTAAAAAATATATAAATATAGAATTAAAAATTGACAATAAAATTTAAATTGTAAAAATTGATGATAAATCAAAAAGAATTAAATTTTAAATATTAAAAAATCAGTTTAAAAATATTTAAAAAATCGATAAAAAATTTAATTTTTCACTTTTAATATTTGTCGATGATTTCGTGTAAGAAATGTAAAAATAAATCATAAACAATTACATTTTGTGGCACTTAATATTGGATTAACCATAGCGACATGTCGATCGGCAACTCGTTTTTTTGCATCGACAACTGATTCCATTTTTGCAAAAGTCTTTTTATGAATTTCAGCGAAATTGGGAATTTTTTTCGGCACTGGTGTTTTTGTTTCTAAAAATACAAGAAAATAATCAAATGAAATTAATAAAATTAAATAATAATTATGAAAATTATACAAACAAACAAAAATTAAATTAAATTAAAAATAAAATAATAAATAAATTAACAAAATAATTTCAACTGTTTTTTGTGTTTCTTAAAAAAAAAATTACCAGTTTTTTTCTCGGATGCAAAAGACATTCTCGGTCGACTGAGACGATTAACAGAAGCCAATTGTGCTTTATGATCTGATTTTACATTCGAACTGTGAGTGGAATTTAATGTTTTTTTATTAGCTGGCGTTCGTGGTGTTCCTTCAACAACTGAAACGGAACTTGATCTTCGTCTTTGATTTGCGCTCATTGATTTTGTCACTCTTTGAGGAGATTTTGATTTACTTCTTACTTCTGAAGTTCTTCTCAATGATGCCCTATGACCTGGTGTTCCTGTTCTTAATTTCACTGTATTTGTTGTTGTTGTTGTTTTTGTAACATTACTTTCAGCAAAACGCACTTTTTTACTTTCCACTTCATTTCTGTTAAGCAAATATTAACAAAATTATCACAAACTGATAATAAATTTTTTTAATTTTTGATGAAAACTATTTTTAACGTTTGAACTTTAAATAGTAAAAACTCAAAAAAAATCGTAATTAACATTTTTGATATTTGTACAATTCAGTAGATGAAATTTCTAAAAAAAATTCTTAATGTTCTATTTTTAAAAATTTTTTACATCTGATTTCAAGCAAATTATTCGAATTAAAAATTTTTGAATAATTTTTAGTTTTAATAGACAAAAAAAATTTCGGACCCTAATTAAGTTTCAAAAAATTTTTGATTTAAATTTTTTAAAATAAATGAATTATAGAAGATTTTAAATTGAAAATTTATTTTGAAAATTTAAATAATTGAATTGATTTATTTTAGACGACTTATAATTGAAAGTTTTAGAAATAATTTAATTTCAGAAAGTTTTATATTGAGAACTTTAGAAGTAATTGAATTTTGAAACATTTCAAATTGAAATTTTTGGAAATTTTAATTACGATTTTTTTAATGTCTGTGAATAATTAAATTTTACAGAATTTTTAATTAAAAAATGTTTTAAATAATTGATTTTTTGAAGAACTTGATGGAAACTATTATTACCTACCTACTTAATTATTAAATTATTAAGTTTAGATTTTTGGAAATAATTGAATTTCATATGATTTTTTAATTAAAATTTTGGGTGATTTAATTTTATTTGTTGTAATTATTTTTTCAGAAATTTTTGGAAAAATTTAAACTTAATAAAATTTAGATATATAACATCAAAAATTATTATTGGTAAAAAGTCGCGTAAAAATAATTATCATCATATAATATATATATTTAATATGTAAAATTCTTTTTTCCCGACAGATAGGTAATAATTAAAATCCAAAACTACATATTTTTAACGTTTAAACTTTGAATAGATAAAACTGAAAAAAAATTGTAAAAACAAAAATTGTTTCACTTTTAATTTTTTTACATAATAAATTAAAAGTTAAATTAATTTAACTTAGATTTTTTTTAAATCCTCATTGAATGGATTTACTGTCATTAAGTAAAAAATTCTTTACTTTTAATAACGACGCTACCTAGTCAATATTTTTTACTTTTTTTTTTAATTTTTTTTTTTAATACTATTTATGTTGTATTTTTGTAATATATAGTTTTCTAAATTTAGTACCTTGGTACGAAAGGGCTCATTTTTTTCTTGTTGTATGTCCGTGTATATACGTAAATAAATAAATAAATTTAATTTAAAATGATTAAAAGAAAATGAAACAATTTCTCACCCTTTTGCATTGGCTGAAGATGATCTCTTCACTGCTTTTTTGGCTCTCAATCCTGGAGTTTTAGGCTCGTCAAGTTCATAAGTTCCATTTTTATTCTTTTCTTTTTCTTCCTTTTGCGAAACATCAGAATCAAAAACATCACTCATATTAATAAGTGACGTATCGCTCATATCGGGCTCCGATTCATTTTCAATTCCAGAACGATTACGATTGCTCTTGTATTTTGGGGTCGATGATTTTTTTCTCAATACAGAAATTGACTCATCGAAACATCCCGTTAAATTTAAAGAACGACGCAATGTTACTTTCGGCGACAAATGAAGTCTACTATCTTTAGAAGATCTTCGTGTTGAAGGCGATTCGAAAATGATTTTTTTAACCGAATTATTAAGATTTTTTGGCGAAACAGTCGATGTTGTATTGACAATAGAATTTGAACGTCTGGGACTTAATTTCACGGGCGATTTTTGCGATTTTGGTGATGAACCCTCACTTCTTCGGGTGGAGGAATTCACTTTTTCCAAAATTACAACCGGAACCTTTGACTTGGATGAAGAGTAAGCTTTAATTGGAGATTTCCTTATTTTTGAAACTGGCAATGAAAGTTTTGCTAGCCTTGGTGATTTTTTCTAAAGAAAAATTTTTTTTTAATAAAATTAAGAAAAAAAAGAATGGACAAAATAGAGAGAGAAACATTCAATGTCAGTTACTATAATATTTGAAATGTAATTTGAATTTCTTAAATATATTAATTTTAATTCAGTGATTTAGTTCAGTGATTCCAAAATATTTAATAAACTCAAAAATTAAAAAAAAAAACAATATCAATATTTTTTTGTAACCTAGTGATAATTGCAATTTAGTAAATTCACTTTCTTCCAGAACTCAAAAAACTGAAATTTAGATTTCAAAAACTGTTTTACTTTTTTAATTTTTGACTTCATATTTGGATTCAATGACAAATTTTACGTGCAAGAAGTTAACAACACCAATAGGTTTTTTTGAAAAAATAATTTTTGTTACACAATTTATGTTAATTTTATGTTGCAAAAATTTTTTTTAAAAAATAATAATTCGGAATTAAATTTTGAGAAAAGACATTTTTAAGCTGAAAAATGCCACTTCTATGTAATTAAAAATAAACGATTGTGTAAGACCCAAACAAAATGAAATTCTTACAACAATTTTCAAAATCCTTAGTAATAAATTATTCAAAATAATTCAAATTGCAATTTTAAGAAACAATCTTTAACCGAGACAGGGTGTCTAACAAGGATTGAGAAAAAAATTCCCTGACTCCTCCCTCACATTTTTTGATTTTTCCCTGACTTTTTAATAACCTTATTTCTGTTTTCTTTGGACAAAAATATGGTTATTGACATATTTAACAATAAATTAATTTCTAATGGTAGTAACATATGGTAATAAAAACCATTCAAGTTTTTTTAGATTAAAAAATTTTTAAATTTACAAAAAATTTTAATTTTTGTAGAAATTTACAGAAATTTCCCTGACTTTGAATGAAATTTTCTGAAATACCCTGACTTTTCCCTAACCAACAAAATTCCCTGACTTTCCCTGACCGTTAGACATCCTGCGAGAAATATTCAAAAATGATTATTTTTTAAAAATAAATTTTCTACATTTACAAAAAATTAAAATTTTTTAAAAATAATTATAAAAATTCAAAAATAGGTTTTTTTACTCAAGAATAATCAAAATAAATTTTGTGCTGAAACCTGCAAAAGTTCAACACAAAAAAAAACAATTAACATTCACAAAAAAATAAAACAATTTTCAAAATAATTTAATCTTAAAATTCCAAAAAAAAAACCTTTTTAGTTACTCATAAATATTTAAAAATAAATTTTATGTTAAATTTTTCTAATCCAGTACAAAAAGAATTAAAAAAGCATTTACGAAAATTTAAAAATTTCTTGAAAAAAATTCAATTTTAAAATTCAAAAAAACATTTTTTTATTCGGAAATATTCCAAACTTATTATTCTTCAAAAACAAATTTTGTGTTCGTTCGATTAGCACAATTCATTACAAAATTTCTTTTTTTTAAATAATAATTTTTTTATAGGGTCAGTAAATGGGGACAAGAGGTGTTTGCATGAAAACTTGAAAATCAAAGTCAAACTGTTTCAGTATTTTGTCTCGCATTTCAAAGAAAACAGACTTAAAAATCATACAAATTTTTTTTCTTAAGGGTATGTGGAAACCTCCCACGTGACCTAGTATGGGAAAATGTGTTTTGATAGTATACTGCCCTACAACGGAAAAAGATACATAAGTGACATTTTGGTCAAAAATGAGTTTTTGGTATCAATGGATTCGTAATAAAAAGCTGCATCTGACTATCGTAATTAAAATTCAAAATTTTAATTATTTATAATAAAAAATTAAGATTGAAAATATTGCAATTCGCGAAAAATGAGAAAATACAACAGAAAAAGACACATGAGGTACTTTGCGTTGCCTAAATTCTGTAGGAGGCATGAAATACGTCACAAAATACAATGGAAGAATATACGCGAGGTAGCTTATGATCTTTTTCCGTTGCAAAAGCGGCCGAGCTCGGCTTCGTTTACAGAACGATATTCGCAAGCGCGCTTGTGTATTTCTTAGCTTGTAAAATAATCGAGCGGAGCAAAGATGTCCAGTGGAGACTATACACAAGTGCCATACTCTAATCCCATACTCTCTTGTCCCTTATGTATATTCTTCGCTGGACATCTTTGATCCGCTCGATGACTTTACAACGAAAAACACCACAAGCGACTTTGTGTTCTTTTTACGTTGCATTTGCACTAAAAAAACTACGCAAGTGCATTTTTTAAAAGGGATTGTTTAAATAATTAATTTTTTTTACAAAAATAGAAAGATCACATCCGATTTACCCCATTAGGGATATTTTTATTCATAAAAAATGAATTCTAAATAAAGTTTTTGATGCAAATGGTTTTTCTCAAATATCTCCGTTCGACCTATTTGTGGCTTATGTATCTTTTTCCGTTGTAGGGCAGTATACATTTCACTCTAAAATGAAAAAAGATTTTTCTCTAAAATTTTGAGGGATAATAGATTTGGGTTCAAGGAATCTCGCTGTTCTCCGAAAAATACATAATTTTGTGTTAAATTATTAAAAAATGAAGTTTAAAAAGTGGCATTTTTAAACGAAAATGAAAACAAAGATGGCGGCGCATACACAGACGTTGCTTGAGTGTGTCAGTGCTCCAGTAAACAGCGCCAATTCGAGCGAGTGGCCGCTGAATGAAGTATGATATAATACATTATTTTACTATTTATTGCTTTGTCCACATACCCTTAATCCTTATGACTCCCATAACAGAAATTCACTTGAATTTTTGATTTTTGTCAAATTTTTTTCAAATTTTTTCATCCCTTAATACTTTAAAGGAAATTTTTTTCTTAAACCTTTCTTAGAAACTATCCTGTCTCCATTTACCCCTACTGACCCTAAAAATAGTTTTCTGTTTCTCAAAAGCTACGAATCATTTGTTTCAAAATTCGAGAAATTAAAGAAAATTCCATGACTTTCCATAACTTTTCCCTGACCTGGAGTGTTTCCCTGACTTATTAAACACTCTGAATTTTTCAACGAAAAAAAAAGAAACTGACAAAATTTATTATATATTTCATAAAAGAAAAAAAATTACCTTGGAAACTGAAGAAATTGTTTTATTTTGAGGTGAAGTAACTTTTTCTTCACGCGGTGAAACTAAACTCCTTCTTGTAATTATTTTAGGCGATTTTTTGCCAATAGGTGAATTTTTTTTCGGTGAAGGCGTTTGCTTTTTTAATGGTGAAAGTGATTTTTTCGGCGATGCCATTGTTCTTGGTGATGATAATTTTTTAGGCGACGATATTAATTTTGTAGGTGATTTCTTTTTGGGTGAAGGTGATTTTTTTGCCATTGAACTTAAACGCGGTGAAATAATTACTTTTTTTGCACTCATAGGAGCTAGACTTCTTCTTGTATTTCGTCTAGTTGATTTTTTGGCAATTGGCGATTGTTTTTTTGGCGATGGCGTCGTCTTTTTGGGGGTGGATAATTTTTTTTTTGCCACCGACGACGTTGATGTTATTGTTGGTGATGGAGTTTTTGGTTTTGATCGTGAACTCGGTGATTTTGATGCAACACGTCGTTTTGCGTTTAATTTTAAATCGTCAGACGACGACGATGATGATGGTGAATTTTTAATGACAAGTTTTCTTGGAGTTTTTAATAGTTTCATGGGAGTATCGGCTGAATGTGTTTTTGGTGATCCAAGATTATCAGGCGATCGTCGTGGTGTTTTCTTTGATCTGTGTGGCGACAATGTCACAGCGATTGGACTACTTTTTGGAGTAGTATTCATACGGGTTCTTAAATTTACAATTCGCGATGAATTTTTTGGACTTTCATCGTCGGTTAGAAGGGAATTATTTTTTCGTTTTGTCGTATTTCTCAAACTCACATTATTAATTGTTGAAAATGACTCGTCTTCCGTTATTAGAGAATCATCGGATTTTATCGGCTTTTTGCGAGTCGATTTTTTCGAAACACTCTTCGGGCGATTCTCCTCTGTATCACTCGTCGATTTTGTTTTTGCCGCTCCTTAAAAAAAAAATTGTTTTATATATTTTTTATTTGTGGAGTTTTTTTTGAATATTTTATTTTTTTATTCAAAATAAATTGGCTGACCACGAATTAACTTTAAGACACATAGGACGATGTTTTCGTCGATTTACATTTCAAAAAAAAAGTAGATTTTTCATTTGAAATAAATTTAATTAGTTAATAAATAATTTATTACAAATGACTAATTGTTATTGGATCTTCAGTTAATTCGATTAATTCCTTAAGAAGAATAAGATTAAGATTGATTAAGATCAAGATCAAAAACAAATTCTGAAAATTCCATTTTTAATAATTTTTTGAATTCTTATTGTATTCGAATTCAAAATTAAAAAAAAAATTCTAACCATAATTAAGTTTTTTAACTGAAATAAATTTTTGCAAATTTAAATTGCTGTAGTTTTTTTTTTTTAATTTTTGGCAACAATTGAAACTGTGAAAGTTTACATTTGAAACTTTTTGCAAAAATTAAATTTTATGTTAGATATTAATATTAATAATTAAATTTAAAAAAATGAAAACAAATAATTGAATTTTGGAAGAAATGCTGTTTAAATTTTTAGAAATAATTGAATTTCAAAAGATTTTAAATTTTTGAAAATTTTAATTTTTCAAGATTTTTTAAAATTTTGGACAATAATTTAATTTTACAGAATTTTTATTAAAAATATTTTAAATAATTCAATTTTCGAAGAATTTGATGAAAATTATTGCTTAACAATAATTTCACAATTAATTTAATAGAACATTTTTTAAAATAATTGAATTTTGGAAGAGTTGATTGAAATTTTTAGAAATAATTAAATTTCAGAAAGTTTTATATTGAGAATTTTAAAAACAATTAAATTTAAAAAGGTTATTAATTAAAATTTTTAGAATTAATTGTAATTCAGAAGATTTCAAATTAAAAATTTTGAAAATTTTAATTATTGAAGATTTTTTTATTTTCTGTGATTTATTGAATTTTTAATTAAAAAATATTTTTAATAATTGATTTTTTGAAGAAATTGATGAAAATTATTAATAATTATTAAACTATTATTAACTTTAGATTTTTGGAAATAATTGAATTCAAATTTTCGGTTTATTTGCTGATATTGTTTTTCTTTTTTTTACAAAATTCAAACAATTATTGAATTTTAAAAATATTTAATAAATTGCAAAATAGTTTAAAATAGTTGAATTTTTGAACAATTTTATTTAAATTATTATTGAAAATAATTAATTTAGTGAAGAATTTTAATTAAAAATTTGTTAATTAAATTTTGAAAGAACTGCATTGTATACTAAAAAAATATAAAATGAAGTTTGAAATGTTTTCTTTTTTTTTTTTTTTTGTAAATATTTTAATATCTTTTTATTTAAATTTATCATTTTTTTGTCAATATTTTGAAATATTCTTTAAAAAAAATTGTAAATTATTTCATAAAATAAATAAATGAAAATATTAAAGTCGAAAAATAGATTTGAAATTTGAAAATAACATACGAGTGGTTCGTCGTCTTTTTGGTGGCGAATGAGACGTTTCTTTAGGAGAAGTAATTTTTTTCTTCTCCCTTTTTGTCGTATCTGGAGTAGCATTATCTTGTTTAATGGTACCTGAAAAAAATAGATTACAAACGCCTTAAAATTTAAAAAAAAATTTAATTTTTCACTTTTTCAAACAAAATTTTTTATCTACATTTTTTGTCCACAAAACTAAATATATAAGTATAAAAATTGTTTTATAATTTCTTTTTTAGAAAAATAACAAAAACTCATTTTTTAATTATTTATAAAAAAATAACTGAAAAGTTTTATTTGTAAGATAAAGAGGAAAATTTTTAAAAATAAATTTTTTTCCCACAAAGGAAAAATCATTTTAAAAAAACATTGAACTAAAAAAATTAATAGAAATACACAAAAAAAACACGTAAATAGTTTATAAAAGAAAATTTTTCCTAAATTTTCGATTAAAAAAAACATTTTTCATGACTAATCAACTTTTTTTTTAAAAACAAATAATATCAAATGAAAAATAAAAAAAAAACATTTCGAGAAGCAATGGGATTTTTCTCGAAATATATTTAATAAAATCGAATAGAGAGAATAAAAATTTATTTCTCAATTTACATTCATTGAATTAAAAGGAAGAATTTAATTTTCTCAATTAAATACATTTGTGTCATAAAGAAAAAAGGAAATTTAAGGAAAAATTTGTCATACACATAACAATGTTTTTATTGAAGGCGCGAAAGCAGACGCCATATTCTGAGGAACGCGATCCCGCCTAAACAACATTGTTTTGCTCCAAGATTTCAATACATATCTCTCTCTCTCACTATTATATACTGAAAATTAACCGTCGATGGGGTTAGGTTTTCTCACCTCTACGGGTCCTCCTTGGCGACATTCTTGTAGGCGTTCAATTTTCCTCGTTTAATGTTTCACTCTCAATATTTTTGAGGATAATTCTCACACACCAAAATGTCTTACGAAAAATTATTACACACACCACACGTTTAACAAACAACCCAACAAACAACCGCTTCCTTTTAAAAACCGTCGGATCGAGGCGCTGTTCGGCTCTTTTACTTTTCGAAATTCACTCGCCAGAGGCGTTGCAGTTGTTCTTTTAAAAATTTGAACATCGAATCAGGTGCGTAACTATCACTCACATATTTTTAAAAAATTACACCATTGTAATGAAAAAAAAATAATAGTCATAATTACCGTGAAAATAAATTTCCTATAACGAAATTCAAATAAAAAAAATTATATTTTGAATGATAATACAATAATAATTATTGAGAAATGAATATCAAATACTCGGGTTTTTAAATTTAAACATTCATTCCTGAATCAATGACGCACTTCCTGTTTAATGTTTAGCTCTTTTTTTTAAACAATTTTTTTCTTTATGTAATTTGTCAATATTTTTCAATTATTACTTTAAAAATGTATCGAAAATGGCTAAAATTTGTTTGCTTATTAAGTATGATATTTTTATTGAAAACAATTGTTTTCATTTGAAAATTGAACGCAACCCTGTACCGGAAGTTATTACATAAGTTGAGTGTAACGCAACCCTTGGTCTAGTTTGTGGTTATCTCCAAATTTGCTCCAAAAAAAAGGTTTTTTTTCGATCATTTGGAAGAATAATAATAAAGAAAATAAGGTACGATATTGATAATTTAAATTAAGTTCTCTATATTCTAGAGTATATGTTTCAAATAATGATAATTTAAGAGTACTAATCATTAAGTTACGTTTTTAAGGAATAATTATTTTTATTTAAATAAAAATAATTAAATGATAGATTAATGTTTTTTTTAATATCGTTTTCTTTCTTTAAAATGAAAAATTTGTTCAGTACTGAAAATATATAGCAAAAAAATTAGGAACTTTTATAATTTTCCTAACCTCAAAATTTTTTTCTCACTTTTATATAATGTCTGTGATGACATCCATTTTTGACATTTTAATAATTATTGAAAATTGAATTAGAGAAACTTGTATAAATTTGTAATAGTTTTACTTATGTAAAAAAATTGTGTTGAAAATCATTAATTTTTTTTTAATTAAAAAAAAAATTTTAAACTTGATTGATTTTTCTTGAATTTTTTTAATACAAATTTTCGTGTTCTTAATTTTTTTTTTCAGTCATTATGGCAGATAATTCTCGACAGATGAAATATCCTTATACTTTTACTGCAAAAATAATGCAATTCCCGTATAAATATTATTACAAACACTCATGGATGTTTAGATATTGTGCATTTGCAACTGCTATTGTTGCACCAATTGTCTATCAATTCCAAAAGTTGTGTAAGTAAAACCAAAAATTGTTTTTTTTACACTTTTTCCCGATATTTTTTTCAATTATTTCAATTTAATGTTTATAGCAATTGAATTAATTTAATATATTAATTTATTTATTTTTATTAAATGAAATTTATTTTTTTGTATATTAATATTTAATATTATTAAATTATTAACTAATAAATAAATTAATGGGTCAGAATTTCTCGAAACGGATCAACAAAAATATTTAATAATTGATTTTCAATGTTATATTGTTTTTTTTACTTCTACTGTAATCAAAATAAGTTTCTGAAAATATTTTACCAAAAAAAAAAAAAAAAATTGTTAAAATTATAAACTATTGAAATTTTTAGTTGTTTTAAATATAAAAAAAGAATTTTTTCGAGATCCAGTTGACAAATTTAAAAACAAAAAAAAAGAAATAGGTTTTTCTCGTCTTGGTATTTAAAAATAATTTTTGTTTTAAAAAAAAATTATTTAAAATAGTTTTTAAAATTATTAATTTATATACTTAACTAGCAAAATTAAACGCGCGCAAGCACGCCAAATTGAGTATTTAATTGCTTGTTATAAAGAAATTAAAGATTAATATTATCAATAATAATTTAATTTATTAGAATATTATTACATATTAAATGATAATAATGAAAATTATATGTTTACAGGCCTCGAATTATACGACTTTTTTCAAAAATACGACTTTTATCGACTTATTTTAATAAAATGCGACATTTTTTTTACATTTGAAAAAAAATGTAAATAAAATACATTTTTTTAGTATAAAATGTAGATCTTCTTCAGATCTTCTTCAATTCAATTATTTAACAAATTTTCAACTAAAATGATTCTTCACTAAATTAATTATTTTTAATAATTTTAATTAAATACATCACAAATTCAATTATATCAAAATTATTTTTCAATTAAAATTTTTATGAAATTTAACAATTGTTTATAATAAACTAAAATTCAATTATTACCCGAAATTTTAATTTAAAATCAATTAAAATTCAATAGTTATCAAAAATTTTCAATTTAAAATTTAATTATTTACCAAGTTTTCAATTTAAAATGAAATAAAATTCGATTATTTTCTAAAATTTCTATTTAAAATTAATTATTTAAATTTTCAATCAAAAATGAACTTAAATTAAATTATTATCCAAATTTCAATTAAAATTAAATTATTTCCTAAAATTTTCAATTCAAAATGAACTGAAATTCAATTATTTTCCAAATTTATAATTATAAATAAAGTTTCATTATTCTCAAAAATTTGAATTCAAAATTAATTGAATTTTCAATAATTTGAATTTAAAAGCATCTAAAATTTAATTATTTCTAAAATTTTCCATCGAAATTTTTTTTTTTAAATTTAATAATTTCAATTATAACTCTAAGAAAATTCAATTATTTTTAACTATTTTAATAATATTCTTTGAAAATTCAACTATCTGAAACCATTTTTCAATTAAAAATGATTTTCAAATTATTGCATTTTGTCCGCATTTTCTAATAAATTTTTAGTGAAATCATCTAAAATTTTAATTACAAAACACTTAAAGTTTCAATTAATTTCAAAAATCTCAATTTTAAATCTTTGAAAATTCAATTAAATTTAAAAAATGTTTTCCAAAAATTATTTGATAAATTATTTTTAGTTCTGTAAAATTTAATAATTGTTTGAAAATTAACAATATCTTTTGAAATTTAATTATTTTTAAAAATTTCAACTTTAACCCTTCAAAAAGGATTATTATTAAAAAAAAAAAATTTTTTTTTATTTAAAAATCTGTAAAATATTTTTGTTAAAATAAAAAACAAATCCACTTTTTTTTTGAATATAAATCGACTGAAACGACTTTTTGTGTCTTTAAGTTGATTCGAGGACTGTATTTTTATAATTAATATTTAATAGGTATTCGTTGGCCCCTGGTACCTTAAAAATAAATTTTTTTAAATTACTATCTTGTACTATTCAAAAAAAACACGTGAAATCAGAAAAGGCCAACTTCAAGTTAGGACAGAAGGACAGACCAAGCATTTTATTATTATATAATAATTAGAAAAAAGTTGTTTAATAATTATTATTTATCATTTATAAATTAATTAAATTATTATTTAGTAATAATATTTACGTGGAATAAGACGTATGAATTTGAATACATTGCATTAAATAAAGAATATTAATTATTCCAATATTACATAATTAAAAAATAATTTATTAGTTTACTTTTTAGAATTCAGTGCCATTTTTTTCTCAATGGTATTATACTGAGAAATGTATATGGAATATAAAACAATTTTTAAATTTTACATAGAACACGAAGAAAACTGTTTTTTTTTAATTAACAATTTATAAATAAAATAAAGAAATAAATGATTCAAAAAACTGTTTAAAATAAAAAAATTTTTTAAAAAATAATTTTTAAATACTACGTTTCAAAACGAGAAATCCTATTTTTCTTTTTGTCAACTGGATCTTGAGAAATTTTTCTTTTTCAAGACAGATAAAAATTTAATGTTTTTTATAACTTTAACAATTTTATTTTTTTTTTATTAAATAAACAGATTGTCCCGTTTATTTTGAAATAAAGAAAAAAATAAATATTTTCAAAAAGTTATATTTTGATCACAATTGGAGTAAAAAATAACCATTTAACATTGGAAATTAAATTTTTTAATTTTAGGTGATCCTAAAATTAATTTTTGATTTTATTTATTTTTATTTTTTAATATATCTTATTAATTAATTAATGTAAAAATTTATTTACAGCCTATGCTCCAGCTAATGTGAAGAAATGGGAGGAGAGAGATAGAATAATGTTTGAGGGACATCATTAGTTATTTAGGTCTCAAATTGCAGTCAGTTAATATTGTCACATTTAAAAAACATTTTTTTTATTTTTTCTTTTTTTTTTGTTGTAAATTGTAATGTATGAATAAAATATAATACTACAGAATTACTAATTTTTTTTCATTATAATAAGTGAAATTGTTATTTTTAATATTATTAACGATTTTCTTTAAAATCAGGTATTTTATTTATATATATAATATAAAATATGAATTTTTTTTTTAAACAGAGAAGTGATTTTTACCAACTTTTCTTTTAAATTGTGACTTTTTCTACTTTTTTTAAAAATTTTTTAAATAAAATACAACTTTCTTTTATTATACAATGCAGCTCTTCCAAAATTTTTAACTAAAATTCTGTGCTAAATTAATTATTTCCAAAAATCTAAACTTAATAATTTATAAGTGGAGAGACCAGTGAAATTTCAACCTATCTTACAATTTTAACTATTTTTTACAATTTTTTCATTATTCTGAACAATCAATCATAAGGATTTTAAAAAAAAATATTTTAAAGTTGAAAATGGTGAAAAATTATTTTAAAAAAATTTTTTTTATCATAGAATATAGTTTTAGGTTCCAAAAATATGTCGAAAAAAATTAACACCACTAAAAAACTTGAATTTTTATTGGTTTAAATTTTACTGTTACTATAAAATTCAACTTTTTCCATAATTTTTATTATTTTTTATCGGACATTTTTTTATATCCTTTTTTTATGGTTCTGTAAAATTTAATTATTGTCAGAAATTTAAAAAAAATTTCAAAATCTTAAAATATTAGAAAAAAATAAAATGTTTTAAAATTCAATTTAAAAAATTTTAACTGTATCTCTTCTACAATTCAATTATATTTATATTTTTTTTAATTCACTTATTTAAAAGAGTTTTAAACAATATACGTCTTTTTAAGTATACTATTCAGATCTTCTTTATATCGACTATTTAACAAATTTTTCTCTAAATTAATTATTTTTAATAATTTTAATGAAATTCTTCAAAAATTCAATTATCTTAAATTATTTTTAATTAAAAATTTTATAAAATTAAACAATTGTTTACAATTTAAAAAAAATAAAATAAAATTAGGTACTAAAAATTTTAATTTAAAACCTTTTAAAATTTATTATTTTAAAAATTTTCCATTTAAAACTTTTTAAAATTTAATAATTTCAATTATAACTCTTCTGAAATTCAATTATTTTTAATAATTTTTATAATATTCTTCAAAAATTCAATTATCTGAAAGCATTTTTCAATTAAAAAAATTTTTAAGTTCAATTTTTATCTTTATTTTTTAATAAATTCTTCAGCAACAGAAATCACCAAAAAATTCCAATTCAATAATTTTCAAAAATTTTAATTTAAAAAGTTTTAAAAATTTAATTCTTTTTTTTAAATGTCAACTGTAACTCTTCCAAAGTTCAATTAATTTTAATATTTCTTTAAAAATTCAATTATTTACAAAAGTTTCAAATAAAAACTAAAATTAAATGGTCAAAATTTTTTTACTTAATTAAAATTTTAAAAATTTACATCTGCGATCCTGAAATATTCGAAATAAATTTTCTATTCCTATAAAATTTTGTTGAATTTGAAGAAAAAATGATAAATTTTTTAAAAATGTTATATATTTTTAATTTATGTTTAAAAATAAATGTTTTTTTGTAATTTATACAAAATACATTTTTTAGCCCAATAAGCAAGTAATTTAATAAAAATTAAAAGGTTCCAGAAATATTTATTCTCATTGTTATAAAAAAGACCATTTTTTATTAAAAAAAAAAAAATTAGAAGCTTTACCTTTTCTTCTATATTTGAAAAAAAATATATCATAGTCATAGTAAATAATTTTTAAATAAATGAATTTAATTAAAATTAATACTCCTAAATAAATATATATTAAATTCAAGGCTCCCTATCGAAAATATGAAAATATTTTTCATTAGAAATTTTCACTGTTTTTTTTATTTTTTCCTTTTTTTCTATTATCACGATTTTAGGTTTTTATTTTTTATTTCAATTTTTTTTTCATTAAACATACAATAAATTAATTGGGAAATGAATGATTAACTTGATTTTTAATACTCTTTATTACCAAATTAATCAAGTATAAAACATACATCGTTACAAATGATCGGCTCGATTGCGCTGTACATGTGAATGAATAAATGTCTTGTGTTTATTTTCAACTGCTTAGGTCCAGCCTGTATTTCGTTTTTCTTTTTCTTCTTCTTCTTTTCATTATTTTTTTTTAATTATTTATTTCTTTTTAAAAAAAATATTACTAAACAAAAGGCTGTTCTTTTAAAATTCTTAAGACAATAAAAACTGATTCTCTTTATTATTATTTATATTTCATATATATTTATATATATTTCTAAAGAAACATTTGCAAAAGAAAAAAAAATTATCTCACTTCTTTTTTTTTTTTTATCTTTCCATCAAAATAGGTGAATTCTTCACGTTAAGACAAAATCGTCTCAATTAAAAAAAAAAAACATACAAATTTTAAACAATCAGCTGACAAATATTGATTAAAAAAAAAAAAAAAAAAAAAAAAAAACGAAAAATTTAATAAATAGACAATAATATAAGCAATGTAAGATATATCTGGAACAATAATCTAAATTATTACTTAATGTGCAATAATAATAATAATAAAAATAATATTAATTATAATAATATTAATAATAAAAAATAATAACGGGACACATTACAAGGGAAAATTGATCGACTCCGATAATTTCAATGAAAAAATAACAAAGAACAATAAATTTGCTCTCTCTCTTTTTTACTTTTATTTTTACTGGAGTATTAATGTTGACAATTTCGCCTTGAATGCAATGTTTTTTTTTCTACAAGAACAAAAGTTCTGCGCTTTTTTTTCATTCCTTTTTTTCTTTTTTTAATACTGCATTCGTGTCCCAATAAAAATCAACTAAATAAACTTTATTCCTAAATATTTTGTAGCCAATCTAATTCTCTACTCGCTTGATCTAGTTTTTAATTTATATTTTTTGACATTTTATTTTTTGATTGTGAAATTCAAAAGAGGGGGGCAAAAAATAAATATTTAGGGAAAAAACAATGAAAATAATTACAATAAGTAAAAAAAAAACTAAAATTTCCAAAACAATTAAAATGAAAAAAGAAAACTGTTTTGAAAATTTTCGAAAAATGAATATAATTAATTTTTTTTTCTTTAATAATTGTAAAATAAAAAGTAGAAGTTTTTAAAATAAAAGAATTAGGTTCTTTTTGATTTGAGAGAATATACAATATTTATCGATCAAGCGTGTAAGTACTAGATGCAATTTTGTTTTTCGAGTCTATTTCTAGCTTTGTTCTGAGTCTTCATCGCTCGCCGCTGCATTATCATTATCATCGTCATTGACATCTTCTTCTTCTTGTTCTTCTTCTTCTTCCTCCTCCTCTTCCTCCTCTTCCTCCTCTTCCTCATCATCGACATCTTCGTCATCATTATTGCCATTGGTTTCGCTATTGTTGAATTCTTCCTCGCGTCGTGGCTTTTTTGCTTTACGAACATTATTCTCATCGTAATTTAAACCAAGATCCTTGCATCGTTTCTCAAAGAATTTCAGTAATTTTACACCAGCCCTGAAAACCGAACTAATCAAAAATAGGCAGTCGAATTGCTCTCCGTTATTATTCTCACGTGTTCGGAGGCCAAAGATTATTACAATTCACGGAAACAAAAAAAAAATTTTTCTGGCTTTTTAGATTTCTTTTTTTTTATGCACTTTCAAAAATTGTAATTTAATATTAATTCACGATTTATTAGAATAAAAACCTCCACCAGTTACAATTTTTTTTTTTTTATTGATATTTATTATTTTATAGAGTTTTGAGAAGGAGAAAAAATATTAAGTTTTTTTTTTTTAATGATACTCCAGAAACTCTAAACTCAAAAAATTGGTATTATTATTTTCTTAGAAGTAAAAACATGAGAAAAGAATTGTTTTAAAAATACCGTAAGGGTAAATTTTCGATTTAAAAATTAGCCATTGAAATAACAAAATTTATTGAAAATTTTATAAATATATTATTTTTCATGTCATCTTCTTCTCTTAATTATTTCGCAAAAAAAAAATCTTTAATTCGAAAGATTAGAAAAGACCTTTAATATGAATATTAAAAAATATTTTATCAATATTATTTTCAATAAAAATATAAATGATTATAAAGAAAAAAAATAGGAAATAATTCATTTTCAGAAAAAGCATTGTGTCATAGTTTTTAAAGAAATAAATAAAAATTTATCCACCAAAGAGAATTTTGAAAAAAAAAATTTTTTAATTGTAATTAATGAACGATAATAAAAATAATAAAAAAATATTTATTTATAAACATAAACGGACCTTAACGAAAAATAAAAAGTGTCCCTTCAAAAATATAAAAACTTTCTAAATAAATTATCAAAAAAAAGCATTCGATAAAAATAAGAAAAAAAAATATTCGGTGGGTTACAAAATTTCCAAAAGAAATCTATTTTCAACAAGAAAAAAAAATTATAAAATAAATAATAGTATTACCTAAACCTTCTGAAAGAAATTGAATTAAACAATTTTTTATTTTAAACATACAAAGAATGAAAATAAAAAAATCATTTATAAAAAAAAATTTATTTACAAAAATAAAAAATATAGACAACACATAATAAATAAATAAATAAATAAAAACAAATAAAGACATGAGAAAGAGACAACATGTAAATAAATTGACAATGAAGTGTGTATAACAAATTTCAAGAAGCAAATTTAATGATAAAAAGAATAGATTGATTTGAAAAGAAATTTTAAATAAGAAAAAATAGTAAAAAAAAACTTTTAATGAAAACAAATACAAAAAAAAATTTTAAAGAAATGAGAATAAAAAGAAAGACGAAAAAGATAATAAAAAAAAAAATTAAAAAATTAGAAAAGCAGTGTAGAAAAATTGATTTTTAAAATTACCTGCGACATGTAATTTTTTTCAAAATTTTTTAATAGTAAGAAAATAATAAATACTAATTATAAACACCTGAAGAGAACACCAACGTTGGTTATGAAAACTTGAATTTTATCTTTTTTTACAAATAAAAATATGTTCAAAAAAAATTTAACTTTCAATCAATTAAAATAGTATTATTTTTTCTATTTTTCAAATATAAACGAGCAAACAAAAATTTAAATTTTTTAATTAAATTAATTTCAAAAAATTTTTAAATTTAAAATTTACAAAAAACAAAATTAAAAAAAAATAAAATAGCGGCATTAATGCAGAGAAATTAAAAAGTTATTAATAGAAGAAAATTAAGAGAAAGAGAGAAAAATTTAAAAAAAATTGGATTAATTATCTTCTTTTTACATACTTTCTAAATAAGAAAAAAAATTATATGGTCCATTACATTATATTTTGTCAAAAATTGATCATCAACAACTAATTTTAAAAAATGATAATCGCCTGATATTCAGTTATTTCTAAAAATATAACCTGTTGATTTGCAAAAATTCAATTATTTTGATAAATTTTCAAAAATTTTATACGTATTTGTGTGCTAATAAATGTAAAAAAAAAATGAGTCCATTTGTTGTTGGAAAACAGAAATTTAGTAAGATAATTGTATGAATTTGAAAGAATTTTGATGATGAAAATTTTTTTCACATCACATTTAATTTCTTCGAATTTAGATTTTTCCTCTAAATTTCGAATTTTAACCGTTTATCTTAAACTGAGATTTTTATAGTATTTTAAAGTATAAATATTATTTCATGAAAGTTTAATAATTCAAGGTTTTGTTTTAAATGGGAGAAATGAATTTCCCATAAAAATCATTAATTAGAATTTTCATTTTAAAGAATTTTATTAGAAATAATTATTTTTTTTAGACGAATTTTCACTTTTCAAATCAGAATTTGACAGATTTTCTTTTTTAAAATAAATTTTTACAAAACAAAATTTTTATTTTTGTTTGGCAGAATTTTTTATTTATAGTCATTTAATTTACATGACTTTTTATTCAAAAGAATTTTAATTTTATCGAATTTTAATTTAACAGAATTCAATCGTATTTTATGTGATTCGATTTTTTAAATGACATAAATTCCAAATTCACCGAATTTTAATTTGTGTCCGAATTTTTATTTGTAAGAATTTCTATTTATACAAATTTTTAATTAATAGAATTTTTAAGACACCGAATTTTCATTTGTCCGAAATTTACAAATGGCCGAACAAAGAATTGACAGTAAGATTTCGGCGCAATTTTTAAAATTGACCAATCACGATTTTCTTGATAATTTCTAATTGGTCAATTTTCAAAAATTGCGCCGAAATCTTTCTGCCGATTGTTTGTTCGGTCATTTGTAATTTCGGACAAATGAAAATTCGACGTCTTAAAAATTCTATTAATTACAAATTCGTACAAATAAAAATTCGGTGAATTGGAATTTTTATCATTTAAAAATTCGAATCAAATAAAATTCGATAAAATGAGAATTCTTCTAAATTAAAATTCGATTAAATTAAAATTCTTTTAAATAAAAAGTCATGTAAAAAAAATTCCATCAAAAAAAAAATTGGGTAGCTAAAAATTTTGTTGTGTAAAAATTCGTTTAAAAAGAAAATCTATCAAATTTTAATTCGAATATTGGAAATTTGTCTAAAAAAAAAAAATTATTTCTTATAATTAAAGTAATATGAGAATAATAGCAAATCTAGGTTTATAACATTTTTCCAATACATTTTTTTAAATTACCTGATAATTCCCTGACTTTTGGCAACCCTGGTAAAATTAAAAATTGTAATAATTTTTTTTAAAACTAGTCGGCAAACAACTTTTTTCAAAATATAATCGAATGACTCGTTAATTTTTTGTTTTTAATTAATAAGTAAATAAATAAGAAGAGAGAGAGAGTGTGAAAAAAAAATGAAATGTTAAAAGACGAGACATATTTCGGTTAGCCATTGTATATATACGTGCGAATAGATCTCTGGCATCCGAACCCAAACCAGAGTCAAGTCGCACTAAACACTCACTTGTAAACAGGACTGTGCTCCTCATTATAAACATTACAGTTGTCAAAGACCAGTAAACAATCGGCAAAGAAATCATCGATTTCATTATAATCTCCATTGCCAAGTTTATATTTGATTGTTCCAAAATCCATTGGATTTTTAATAAAATCCTGATAGTCGGGCACCTCGTCCTTTGTAACTGGACTCATAAATGGCCATGAATCACGATGATGTGTTACGTCAGCGAGTAATTCTTGAAGTGTTGCCTTCATATTTTTCAATGAATTCTTCTCATTTTCCACTGGTTCCTCCGCAGAGCGTTTCGATGATCGCCTCGTTTGTCGTGGCTCCGTCTCTTCCGTGTTGCTAACGTCTATATTATATATAATAAATATCGTTCATTTCTATGCAAATATTTTTCGTAACAATTTCCTTTCACTTCAAAAAAAAAAAAAAAAAAAAAAAAACAAATCCCCCCACAAAAAAAACACAGCAGCAAAAGCTTTTTTATTCACAAAGTGTTAAGGTTCGAAGTTTTGGAAAAAAAAATTCCTGGACAATATTTTCATTAACAGACTAAAAAGTTTTTTAATTAATTATTCCATTGGGATAATAATTTTTGTAAGAAATTGCTTAGTTGATTCAATTATGTTTGAATTTTTAATTAAATTTTCTCTGCACTCAGAGAAAAAATATTATTTGCCTCAGAGCCAAATAAATATGTATTTGTTTCAAATAAATTTTATTTGGTTTAAATAAAAATTTGATTTGTGTTAAATAAAATTTTTTATTTCAAACAAATAAAAAGTTATTAATCTCTAAGAAAAAGTATTCTTTTTTATTTAACACAAATACATTTTTTTTGTCTCAAATATAAACGTAAATAAAATATTTCTCTCTGAGTGTGGAATGAATTTTTAATTTATTCATAGAAATTTCAATTATTTTTTTTTCTAACTTTTATTTTTCGATTGAATTTTTTATTGTAATTTCATAATTAAAAAAAAAAATCTTTTTCGATGAAATTCGATAGAGAGCCTTGAATTATTCATCAATTGATATATTTATTGAGCTATAATTAATTTGACGATAAATAACGCAAGCGAGAGGAGAGACAAAGAGATTAAAAGAGAAAGATAAGAAAATAAAATGTAATGATAATTAATATATATGTGTACTAATTTAAAAATTATTAATAAAAATATTTACAAAAGACATATATCTATAATATTAATAAAATCATGCTATTTAAATCTATAAATATGTAAATTGCAAAATTGTCAAAACAATTATCAATGCAGAATAAAAATTATTGAATGATAACAATATATGAAAATATTAATAGTAACGAAAGATATAGTAAAAAATTAATTTTTCCTCTAAAGAGAATAATTTTTTTTTTTCAATAGGTGTAGAAAACAATTTGAATTGAAAAAATAATTCTTCTTTTTCATAGAAAAGACAATATTTTTTTTAATTTAAAAAAAAATTCTTTATTTCAAAAGATAAAGAAAGTTTACCCCAAAAAAATCCTCCAATTTTGAATAGAAGTTTAAAAAAAAAAATTATTTCCTAAAAAGAATTTTATTTTTATCAAAAAATAGAAAAAGAAAACACGAAAATATTTTTATTTTCGAAAGTAGAATTTGAAAAAAATAAAATATTTATTTAAAAGATACATTTTTTAAAAATATTTATTCTTTTAAATAAACATTTTTTTTAAATTGAAATTTGAGAGAGACAAAGAGAATTCGTTGTTTAAGAAAGAAATGTTTCCCCTCCTCTCTGTTTTTTTCTTGAATCTTCAGAATTGAAAAAAAATGAATATAATCCTTTTTGTCAATATATTTACAATTTTTTGAATCCAATAAATGTCCACTATTGTAATATTAATAAATTATTTTTATAAAAAGAATTTTAAAAAAAACTCTTCGAACCCTACCACCGTGCAAATATATATGTATATGTAAGAGAAACATTAATATACCAAATTATTATTATATTAAAAATCTACTAAAACAGCTTTTAAAAATGGACATATTAGTATATTATAAAACCATTAATTAAAAAGCAGTGATGATTAACAAGCAACAGATATGAATAATTACTTTGATTAATGTAATATAAAATAATTATTAAAAAAAAATATATAGAATATAACTATATAAATATAAACAAATATAAATATTTATAAATAAATATACACATAATTAATCGTGAGTAGATCAAAAAATTGTGCAATCTAAAATAGTTATTAATATTTAACACCATCTTTCATAATTTTTATAACAATTATTATCTTAATTTATATATTATATTAAAAAATAATATATATCCTAAGGTGTCATAAATTTTTTTTTAATTGTTTCCGTACCTGTGACATTTAACTACAAATAGAAAAAAAATCAGAACATAATACATATATTACAAATATACAAGACTTAATATGTTTTCAAATACTTTATAATTATTTAAACAATTTGTTTTTTGCATAGTTTTGATTTTAATTAATTTTTTTTTCGATAATAAAACTTACAATTTTTTAAAATAATAATAGGAATACTTTTTTCATTTTACTGTTTTTCAATAGGAAAATAGTTTTTATTTATTAATAAATTAATTTTTAAATTCAAAGTAAATTAAAAAAAAAAACAGTAAAATTGAAAAAAATGGCGTTCTATGTTTATTTAAAAAATTGTAAGTTATTAGAAGAAAATTAATTAAAATCAAAAATATATTAATAACTGGAAAAATAATTTGAAAAATCAATAGTTACAATTCTGTACCTTTTTCGTTAAAATTAGACATTTTTTTGCAAGATTACAAAAAAAAAATTGCATAAAAGATAGATACGTATTAATTTTTTTAAATTTTTACTCAAATTCACAGGTACGAAAAAAATACTAAAAAAAAAATTTTTTTTAGACTGAAAATTATTCTTTGAAAAAAAGTCGATTAATTGTATATTAATCAAAATTAATTCAAATGTAAATTATTTAAATATAGTCAAATAGAATAAAAATAAAGATGAGATGTTGGAGGAATGGAAGAATATATATAAATTAAAAAAAGAATTTTGGATTGTATGTTAATATCTAAACGGGCGAATTAAATCAACAGCTTGGAGGAGTAATAAAAAAAGGAAAATTCCGGAGAAAACTACACCTATCGTTTATAAAATTGAGAATTTTATAAAAAAAAAAAAAATTAAATTCAAATTTTTAGGAAAAATAATAATAATAATTCAATATCTATCACCATATCACCATATTAATAAATATCATTATTAATTAATTAATTATTATTACTATTAATGCAAATAATTAATCATTAATATAAATATTAATATTTCTTTAAATATTAGGTAAATAATTTAAACATTTAAATATTTAATAATAAGTTAATAATGATAAATTATTTGCATTAATAATAATTATTTTTAAAGAAAAGAAAATAATGTTAATATTAATATAATAACTATATTAATAACAATAAAAAAAATAATGCCAAATAGAAAAACCACATGGATAATTCTATTTCAAACTATTCCACCTTGAAAAGACGATCGTGAGCAAATTTTTTTAAAGGTAATTTTATTTTATAAAAAATAAATTATGATTCATATTTTTAATTATCCAAATTTCTATTTAGCCGAATTTTTTATTTAACCGAATTTTCATCAAGTAAAATTATCATAAAATAATTAAGTACAATTACTACAAATTTTTATTTATTTACATTCAGCAAAATTCCTTAATTAGCAAAGTTTCCATTTAACAGAAAATTTGAATTATGCGACATTTTTTTTTTAAAACCAAATTTCTATTTAGATTAATTTTTCATTTAATCCGATTCTCATTTAATAAAATTATCGTAGAAATTATATTGTAAAGAACAATTTTAATTATCGAAAACTATTATCAAGACGAATTTTTATTTAACAGAATTTTGTATTTTAACCATTTTCTATTAGGTGAATTTCTAAATGTCAAAAATTTTATCTTCGGAAATTATATTTCAAAACAAAATTTTTTTTATGAAATTGTGAGAAATTAAAAAAAAAATCTTAAGATCAATCGAAAGGTCGTTAAATTCTCTTTCGAAATAGTTTATAACATTTTATGAATAATTTCTTTTTTATAGAATAAAATTTACTTTAAAAAAAAAAAAAAATCTGCTCGCGATCGTCTTTTGAAAATAGAATGGTTTGAAATAAAATGCTCCACATCATAAATTAATTATTTGTAATGAGAAAAATGATTCTCGTGATGTTATGGACTTTTTTAATGTTCGTTTTTGAATATAATACCATTTTTAAAAAGACCAAAAGACAACAAAAAAAAAAATAGTTTTTAGGAGGCAAAAAAATAAAATGTATTATTGATTGTATGTGCAGAATAGAAAATTGACATACAGCCGTCCCAATTTGCTGAATCAGTAGTGAGGAGGCTCTTGGCGAATCCGTGGATTCGAGAGCGAGCTGCTGCTGCAGACGACCTCTCCGTCTCTTTATCCCTCTCTCGCCCCCTCACTAACAACATACCCAAATCTACATCCAGTCTTCTTTCTTTTATTTCTTCTATTTTTTCTGTTTTTCAATTTCTTTTCCACAAAACTGAACAATTTTTACTCGATTTTTTAAAATAATAATAATAAGAATAATAATAACAAGGTATCTAACAAGTTTAAGAAAAAAAATTTACTGACATTTCCATGACTTATTCTAAGCTTTTACCCTTTTACATGTAATATAAATTAACGGATTAAAATAGCTTATAAATTAAAATATTTCCAAAATTAAATTTTAATAGGCGTTATTTACCTAATAATTTCACAATTCAAATATTTACTAAAGTAAATACTTTATAAATAAAAAATTAACTCAATGTATGATAATTAAAAAAATAAATAAATAATTAAAAACAAAAATGAAGAGCAAATCGAGTAAAAAAGTCCAGTTTCTTTAAATAAAACTAAAATATTAAATACTGAGAATACATAAATTCACGCACCTTGATTAACTAATTATAAAAAATAAAATAATTATTAAATAAAGAAGAAAAAAAACAAGTAACAGAAATATAAATAATACGGCCAAGAAATATATTTTCTTTTAAGAACTAATATTTTGCCCATTATCAAGAGGATTTTAATTTAGTTTCCTTTTCTTGAAACGTTATAGGAAGTTTTCAAAGAAAAAAAAAGGAAGGAAAAAATAATGTTTTTTTTTTAAATAAAAAAAAAATTAAAATCTTACTTACCGAGCTTCAAACTTGTATTGTATTTCTTTGTTTTACAAGTTTTACACCAAAATTTCCCCCGTGGACATCTTGGTAGAGGTGGATCGAAACATTTCCAATGCCTACTCATTTGACACGTTTCACAGGTTATTAATTTTCCACCAAGTGAACATCCTTGACAAACTTCGGATTTATCACTATTAAAAGGAGAAAAATAGATAAATTATTTTACAAGTATCTAATTACATTAATAATTTTGTAATAATTAATCATTCAATTTTAGAAGATATATTAATTGTTTTTTTGCTGAAAAGATAAAATTATATTTTTCTGACTTTAATTAAAGAAATCGACAATTTTCTAAATATCCTAGTGAATGAATAATTGTTTTCAAAACTAAATTATTTTGTAAATTCTATTATTTTTAATATCGTATTTAAAATGAATTATTAGCCTAATAAATAATTTAAAAATTACTTTAAATTATGCACACACACACAATGATAATAAATTAATTTAAAAAAAAAGAAATTATTGAAAATAAACTTACGATTCTTCGTCACTGTCTTCCTCCATAGTTTCATCGTTATTTAACTCTTCATCACCGACTTCATCCTCACTTCCTGGCACCCTCTTGGCACGATTCTGTCGTGTTTCTTTGGTTAATACTGTGTCCTCCTCAGGCTCATCCTCAAACTTTCGCCTCTTCTTAGCTTTTTCCTTTGGTTTAACTTCTCGCGGTTTACACGTTGTACAGAACCAATCACCTTCAGGTATACTCTACAATAAAACACAAGAAAATTTCCATAATTATAAATTATATTTCAAAATAAAAAAAAATTAATTTAATTTCTCTATCAATTTAAAAAGATGTCAAGTTTTTAATACAGACAACACAATATCTTATCTTTTAAAAAATAAAAAAATTTAATTTCTTACAGTTATTGAATAAATACAAAAAAATTATAGAATAAATAAACTAAATGATTGAATAAATAAAATAAATTATACTGACATTTAATTTAGGTTTCAAGCAGTAAAGATGGTGTCCCTTGTTGCATCCATCGCAGAGTAACATATTTTCGGCGTCCCTGCGTCTTCTGCAAATTCGACATTGAGCGTTCAATGCACTTTTACCCCAAGCGATACTATTGTCCAATGTGCTCAAATGAACAAATAGTTGAGACCAACTTGTCGACGACATCAACGAATGTTCCCAACGATCTCTCGCCTCTTCACTTGACCATTTTTTATCCTTTTCATCGACTCCCAGAGGTTTTTTCAGGTACTTTGGTTCAATGGCGTGATACACCTTTAACAAAAAAAAATAGATATTTTTCCATTTTCTCGCGAATACATTTTTGTCCAATTTTTATATTTAATTTTAATTTATTATTATAATTTTTTATTATATGAATATTTTTGATCATTTTTTTTCGTAAAGTACAAAAGATAAAAAAAAATTATCCAGATAAAGTCGACAATATGTTAAAATGTTATCAGATAAATTTTTTAAACTTATAAAATAATAATTTCTTACTTGTAAAATGGCGCACGCCATTTGTCGAATAGCCATTTGTTGTTTTGCATCAGGATGCATTTCATCTTCACCAGGTGATCCTAAATATTTTCCAGGATCGCGATACGTTTTTGTACCGACACTACCAACTTCTGAATCCGGTGTATTTGGCCTACTATTTCGTGATTCGTGTTTAATTTTATCTAATGTCGAATGAACAGCCGCTACATCAACTTCAATTTCAGTTGAACCATAAACAAGTCGATCACATTGTTTATCATAATTACCCTCTTGTATCGATTTTCTCCACGAATCGCGATCAATTACTTTCAAGAAACCCAAACAGCCAATTTTCACTTTATCCTCTAAATCAAGAACATAATCTCTCAATGTTAATTCAATTACATTATCCACGTCCATGTCCATTGGGAAATTTAAATTTGTACTTTCCAATTTTGGTTTTTTCACATTTTTATTCGACGACTCCTTTATTGGCTCTGTAAACTGTTTGAAAAAACCATAAATATCACATTTTTTTTTATCCAGAAACCACTATATTTAAAATGAGTTCATTTTATACATATTTTTATGTTTACAAGTAAAATTTCAAACTTTTTTTTTAAATTTTCCCTAACATTAATCAATTAATTTAATTTTAAGAAACAACGCATTATTAATTCAAAATAAAATAACTAATAATTTTTTTAGATTAAAGAATTTTTTTTTCAATTATTTCTAATATAAAATGAATTTTGTTGATTTTTTCGAATTGAATTGAAGTTTTGTTAATTTACAGTAAAAAATTACTAATTTTGATTAGTTTATTCTTTATCTTTTAATTTATGAAAGATTTTATTTTTTGCATTAATAGGCTTCATAGTGATGCTAAAAAATATTTTAGGAGAAATAGGGGACCAAAATATTTTAAATAGTAATGGAATTTTAGAAAAATTTTAATTAAGAAATGTTTTAAATAATTGAATTTTTGAAAAAACTAGATTAGTTTTTAAAAATAATTAATTCAACTAAAGAATTTAAGTTGAAAATTATTGAAATTATTGTAAATTTGAATTAATAAAAAGTAATAACAAAATTTCAAACAATAATTGAATTTTAGACGAATTTTGAATTAAAAAATGTTTAAAATAATTTAATTATTGAAAAAAAATTAATAAAAATTATTGAAATAATTAATTTACCAAAGAATTTTTGATAAAATTTTTTAGAAATAATTCAGTTTTGAAAAATTTTCAGTTAAAATTTTTGGAGATTTTTTATTGAAATTATTGTAAATTAAAGTTAATGAAAATTATTAACAAAAATTTATACAATAATTGAATTTTAGAGAATTTTAAAATGTAAAAATTCAAAATTAATTTAAATAATGTAATTTTTAAAGAACTTAATTGAAATTTTCGATAATAATTAATTTTTGTAAATTCTATTCTAATTAATATTTTTTTGAATAATTGAAATTTGCAAAGATGTTTATATTATTTTATATAAAAAAAAGTCATATTTATCTAAAAAATGTTTTTAAAAGTCGAAGAAGTCACATTTTATTAAAATAAATCGAAAGTATTAAATTTTTCTTTGGATAGGCTTTGATTGATTTTGAATCCTAATTCTTTGATTACATAATATTTTAGATATTTATTTTTTTTTGTGAAAAATAGAGGAAATTTAGAGAAAATATTTCAAATATAGTACTTTAAGAGACAAATAGAAGATGACTATAAAGCCTGTTTTTTTTCTATTGATTTCCATTTATGAGGGATTTTATTTTTTTGTATTAAATATTAAATACTCACAACTTCTGGATTGAGTTTATTTCTTGGACAGTCCTCGATAATTTCGGCAATATTTGATGTTTCCATAATAAGATTATTGCGTAATTCAGCCTCGCGATAACCGCGTTTACAAAGACCATTAATCACTGCTTCAATATCGTCACGGGTTCCGTAAAAATTCCATTTTGCCTCCTGTCGTTTACAATGAACAGGACATTCTTTATCGCCAGTACATGCCATCAATGATTTTCTCAAATCATTTATTTCAAGTTTTATTTCTTTCTTTGGACTTGCATCTTTACGCGGTGATTTTAATCCATTTTTCTCAACAAAACCAACTTTTTTCGGCGATTTTTTCGATTTTTTAAAACTATTCTCCTTATCACCGCATTCGTCGTCAAATTTATTATGTAAATAATTATATGTTCCTTCACGAGTTTGTAATTCAGGAATGAGAAATGTTCCACCTGGAATGCATGTTCCTGGCCACCATTCGTCATTTTCCACAAATATTCCTGTTGAGAATTGTTTTTTTTTGTAATTTTCAAAATATAAATTTTATTTCAAGACAAATTTAAAAAAAGGGATTTAAAAAAAAAAATTAAGTAAATAAAATATAAAAAAAACTTACCAGGAATAGAGAGAAATCTCCAATATCTTCGATGAGCACGATCCGATCCAAGTAATACCATCATTTGATCATCCCTTGAGGCTTGTTGAAGTTCCTTGAGTTTGTTGTCATATTCCTCGCGTTTCTTTTCCTCCTCACAATTGCCACGCGTTACTTTTTTTGGTTTTCCCTCTAAAACCTCTTCAACTTTGCCCTCTTTCTCGCGTTCCTTCATTTTTTCGCGTTCCTCTTTTTCCTTCTTTTGTTCGGCAATTAAAAATGATTTTAATTCTCTCTTTGCTTGAATTAATTTTTCATATCTCTCCTCAATTACATCGCGTATCGAAGCGAATGTCAACAATTGATTTATAAGGCATGTAATTACTTTTAGTCTATCGTCAAGTTCAAATTCACAAACATTTCTGTGACTCAATATTCGTAAAATTCGCGCCTCATTCATTCTCAAGAGAAGTGCCGGATCATCGTGATTCGTGTAACCACCTAAAAAAATCAATTAAGAAAAAAAAACATATACAAACAATAAAACAGCATTTGAAAAAAAATGTTCACCAAATTTTGAGAAATATAATTTCTAATTATTTGTTTAAAAAAATTAGGAAAAGAAAACGAAATTTTAATTATTTAAAATAATTTCAAGAAATTTCCAAATTTTAAATATTGCTTTTAAACAATAATTAATTATTTAAAACATTGTTAAAATAAAAATTCTTTAAAATTAAATTATTTTTGTATAAATTTGAATTTGAATCGATTGCGATCAATTGAGATTTTCAAAATATTTAATATTATTTTAGAACATTTTAATAATTCAACGGTATTTTTTTTAATTTAAAGTGATTTCAAAAGGTTGTCAGTGTGAAAAATAAATCCAAGAAGAATTCGAAGTCTTCAAGGGTCGCTGAACAATATAACAAGTTAGTAGGAAAAAAAATTGTCGAAAAGTAATAATTGGTGCATTTTTATTAATGAACTAATTTACTTGGTGTCTACTAAAAATCTGAATTAAAATTCCAGGACTTTTCCAGGACTTTCCAGGACAAATTTCTTATTTTTCCAGGACATTAAATTGGATGACTTTAAGGAATAAAAAAATTTTTAGTTTAACTATTGTTTTCAGAAATTATTAAAAAATTAATTAATTACTTAAGTAAATTTTCATTTTACTTATTTAATGAATTTTTTTTTAACTTGATTGACAAAATTAGAAATTTTTGAAAATTTAAAAGCAAAATATAAAAAATTCAAGGACAAAAATTAAAATTCCAAGACTTTCAAGGACATTCCAGGACATTTTTTCAAATTCCAGGACTTCCAGGACTGGTAGACACCCTGAATTAGTAAGTGAAGAAATTGAATAAAAAAAAATTTCCATAAATTAAACGAAAATTCCATGACATTTTAATGATTTCATTAATTAAATATGAAATTCTATGAGAATTACAATTTCATGTTTTCTAGCTGTTGCACAATGGTCGGAAATATTAAGAAATATATATTTTTTTAATTAAATCCAATATTTTATTAATAAATAATGTAAAAAATAAATATTAAACAAATAATTAACTAATAATAGTTTAAGAAATTATCTTTATGATTTTAAGAAAAAAAAATAAAAATACAAATAGGTCTTTTAAAAAATTAAAAATAGAAAAAAAATAAGGAGAATATTTACAATTGACTTATTGTTCTGCACTGATTGATTACTTTATTATTTTATATTATTATATTCTTTTTTTTTCTCTATAATCCGGTCTTAGATCAACTTTAAGGCGCAAAAAAGTTTGTTTTAGTAGATTTTTTTATTTTAATTAAATTTAATTAGTTAATAAATATTTTACTTTAAATAACTAATGTTATTAAATATTAAATCCATTTAATTAATTCCTTAATATAATTATGTAAAATTTATTTCGAAAATTTCAGAATAGAAGACATAAATTTTTTATATTTTAATTAAGTAGAACGAATTTCTAAAAAAAATTGACAATTCAATCTTAGAGTTTTTATTTGAAACTTTTTTTAATTAATTGAATTTTTAAAAAAATAATTTAACTTTGGTTGAGTTATAATTGAAATTTTTAGACGTAATTAAATTTCAAAAGATTTTGTTAAATTTCAGACAATAATTAAATTTTACAGAATTGAAAATAATTTATCAAAAAATTTTAGATAACATTTTTTAAAAGTAATTGAATTTTCAATGATTAACAATTCACATTTTTGAACATAATTAAACTGCAAATGATTTTAAATTGAAATTTTTGGTGATGAAGAATTTATTAGAAATTACAGACAAAAAATGAATTTCAAAAGTTTTCAATTGAATAATTCTTTCAAATAATTAAATTTTTAAAGAATATTTTAAAAGTCATATTAAAAATAATTGAATTTCGGAAGAATTATAATTGAAATTATTAAATTTCAAAAAGTTTTAGATGAAAAATTTTAAAAAAATAATTAAAATTTAAAACATTTTAAATTGAAATTTTTGGTAATTTAATTTAATTTTTTTTTTAAATTGTAAACAATTGTTCTAAATCATAAAATTTTTAATTGAAAAATAATTTAAGATAATTGAATATGTGAAGAAGTTAATTAAAGTTATTAATAATAATTAATTTAGAGAAAAATTTTAGTTGGAAATTTGTTAAATAATTGAAATAATTTTGTTTTGTTACCTCGTTGTGAGAACCTCCATTTTGACGCGACTTCACCAATTCGACCACCGGAACTTAAAAGATGTAATCGAAGAATTTCACTTAATGTCACATGATCGAGTGTGAGTTCCGAGAGTGAACATCCCTGATGATTTTGACACCATGTTGATGCCATTGTTGCAAGTTTTGTTGCTTCAGCCATTGATGGTACACCATGTTCAATGTTAATATCGTCACTTAAATCAGCTGCATCAGCGTGTATTTCACTTTCTTCTTCGGCTTGAAATTTAAAAATATTTGCAAGAAGAAGTTGTAATAAATCACTGAAACCACCGGCAGTGTCTTTAATCATCATTGCCTTCTCGAGTATTTCAAGATTTAAACCACCTTGAAAATATGTATTAACTTCGAGTTCCTCGTAGAAAAATTGTAAAAATTCCAATATCATTGCAAAATCGCCAAATTTTTCATTTGGAATTCCACATTTTATTGGCACTGCCAATGGAAGTGGTGCCAAATCCTCACATTCTAAATCGTCCTTTAGTGTATTCCATTTTTTCACATAGGCTGTAAATGCCACTTGTTTTTGTTTTTCCTCTTTTTTACGCTCCTTTCGCTCGCGACGTTCCTGTTCTTTTTTCTCCTTCTCCTCTAGGGCGCGGGCTTTTAAATCCTCCTTGAATTTTCCATTAACTCTGCAAAAAAGAAAAAAACAACAATTTATTTGATTTAAATTTTTCAAACAAATGTATTTTTTTTTATTTCTTCGCCGTTTGCAATAAATTAAATTTAACGACAAAAATATTCTAGTTTGAGGGCAGAGATAATTGTAATAATAATAAAAATGAAAACAAACCTTGGTTTTCTTTGTTTTTTCTCAACAAAACCGCTGTTAACTTTTTTCAATGGATTCGGCTTATCGAATTTTCGATGTTTGGAAACGTCCGCAGTGACAAATTTATCCATAGAAGTTTGTTTAACGATTCTTCTCGGTCGTGGAGTGAAATCGGGCAAGGAACCATCGAATATTGTATCGAATCGTACTTTAGCGACGCCATATTTTTGCAGGATACTTTCCTGTAAAAAAATGAAAGCAAAATAAATAAACAAATTTTGAGATTAAAACATTTCTTTCATTCTATTCTATTCTAAAAAAAATATAATAGTTATTTAAACTGTATTACGGAATTATTGAATTTTTCAAAAATCAATAATTTAAAAAAAAATATAAATATTGTTAGACAGTTTTAATTTAAAATTTAAAAATGTTATTTTCTTTGATTAAAATATAAATATTTCCTAGTGCTTGAATTATTAAATTAATTGTTTCAGTATTTATTAAAAAAATGAACTTTTGAGAAATGTTACGTAAAAAAAAATTTTTATTTAAATTTTAAAAATAGGATTTTTCAATTTTTTAAAAAGAGATCATGATTTTTATCAGTTTTAATCGATTTATAAAAGAAAAAGAGTCAGAAGAACTTCTTTAAAATTATTAAAATTACTTCACTTAGGGAAAAAACTTTAAATAGAAATTATTATTATTATTATTTAAAAAATAGTTTAATTTCAGTAGTCCAAATTTTTAGAATTTCAAGAGATTTTAAATTTGAAAATTTTGTAAATTTCAATTAGTCAAGGCTTTTTTTTAAAAAGAATTTTAGTCAATAATTGAATTTTAGAGAATTTTAATTGAAAATTATTTTAAATAATTGAATTTCATTAAAATTATTAAAAATAAAAAACAATAATTTTTAAATATTTTCAATAACTTTGAATGATGAAAAATGAAATGGAAACAATTGATTTTCTCTCACCTTAACGACCCAAACGCCATTTGTACTTTGTTCACAAAGATGTTTAAGAAAAATCTTGTTCCTTTCCCTTCCGTATTGCTGTTTCTTTCTTCTCACTTGGGAAGCCTCGACAGTCATTGTTTGTGTTTCATCTGAATCACCACAGTCCAATTGTTCTACTTCGTAGCGAAATAATTTCGCTGGTGGATTTGGACTTCTCTCTTGTGGATTGCTGAAAATTAATAATCATTAATCAATTTTATTTATGTTTACGACACATAAATATAAATATGTGATTTTTTACATGCAAAAATTGTGTTTTTTTTAAAATCTCAGTATAGATTATAAATTATATGTTTAAAAAATTTTTTAATTAAAAAAAAATTTAATCACTTCAAAAATGTTATCAAATAAAGAAATTTAAAAAAAATAATTAAATAACAAAATAATTATTACAAAATTTCATTTTTAAATAATTGAATTTTTTTATACATTTGAATTTTATAATTAAAAATTTTGTTTCAGATAAAGAAAAAAATTATAAATTATATTGAAAAATATTCATATTTGACAAAAAGTTAATTAAAAACTATTTCTGTGTTTGTTCAATATAATTTTTAATTTTTGAGAATTCGCTTTTATTTTAAAAAAAAAATCAATTCTTAAATTTCGTCAAATTTTGATTTTAAAAAGAAAAACAAACTTTTAACGTCAAAGTAGAACAAAAATTGAGCACAATTTATCATAAATTTTATAATTTTTAGAAAAATTTCCCTGATTAATTAAAAAAAATTCTGATTTCCAGGTTTTTCCTGATCAATGTTAATTAAAATTATTATTCATCAATTTTCGATAACTTTAACATTATTATTTTTCTCATGTCAATAATTAATATTAATTATAGTCCTATTAATATTCAGTAAAAATTTGTTTTTCTTTAATATCAAATTATTTATCGTATTTATTACACATACGATTGAAAATTAGTCAATAATTGAAATATTGTAACAAGAGTTGCTAACAAAAATTTCATTATAATTTTCCTTAACTTCCAGACAATATTTTATATTTTGAAAAAAATGAATTATTTAAAAAAAAATTGTGATCAAAAATTTTCTAAAATTTAATTATTGTGTGAAATTTGTATTTGGGAGTATGAATTTTTTTTTTACTCCTGAATACAGGAGTATGAATTTACAAAAAATTTTAATTTAAAATCGCCTGAAACTCAAATTATTTCTAAATATATAATCTGCGTTAATTTTGATAAATTCAATTATTTTGATACATTTTCGAAATTTTTTTTAAGAATAATAATTTATTATTTTCAAGAAAATGTAATTACCATCCATTTTCCACAAAATACTGTTTAATTTGTTGTTCAGTTGGTGCAATCACTTGAAGAACATGGCATTCGCACCATGAATCATCAGTAAAACTGGCTTCAACCATTTCGCCAACAAAATATCGATCTCTTGCATATTGATAAATATCTTCGAGCATCTCATTGAAAGACGTTCTATGTGATCTATTTGCCAGATATAAAATTGGAATTCGTAGCTGAAAAAAAAACAGACAAATTATTATTATAATTCCCCTCCTTAAATTAAAACAAATTTATGAAATATATTTCAAAAAATATTTCTTTCATTTTCATATAATAATGAAAATTGAACATTTTTTTCTCGTTTATTATAAATAAATAAATCTTTTGATTTAACAATATTGTCATTTATTTTTTCCTCAAAAATAAAGTTTTTTTTTCTATTAAAAAAATTTTGTCAAAGAATATTATAGATATTATAGATAAATTAATTAAATTTAAATTAAATAAATAAATATATACTTTTTAATCTACAAATTTCTAAAGAAAATTTTTCGTTTCAATACTTAAATTATTATAACGAAGCTGAAGTACGCAACATTTATGATAAACAATTTGTAAAGAAATAATTTTTTAAAATAAAATTTTTTTTTCATTTTTTGCCTAAAAAATATTTTTTTTTATCATTTGTTGATTAATGAAAACTAAAAGAAATATTTTTTAAGTAAAAAATTATAGAATTTTTCATTTTAAAAAATTTTTTTCTTTAAAAATCGTTTATCATAAACGTTGCGTACTTCAGTTTCGTATTATTATATTAGAATTCATTAAAAAGAAATTATTAATTATAATTAATTAAACTAATGTTATTTTATTAAATAATTAAATTTTTTCTTATTAAACAATTTCATTAACTTAAATTATATTGAAATTTTAGAAAATAAAAATTAAAAAATTAAAATTAATTCCAAATTACCTCCATTGGGAACTCTTTGAAGCTTCGTTCTGCATTTTCTTCGCTTTCCAAAGCTTCTGCATAGGTCAAACCAGATTTTCCCGTAGTGCTGCACGACCACACGAGTGAATTGCAAAGAATGATCCTCGCGCAAAATTCACTGAAATTTTAAATTTATTATGATTAAAATACTTCTTTCGTTACTAAATTTCACCAATTAACCTGAATTACTAATAACATGGTTTTTTTTAGTAATTTTTGTATTATTTTATTATTTTATTATTATTATTATTATTATTATTATTATTATTATTATTATGTAATATATGCTATAATATGTAATATAATATAAAATAATATTAGGTAAATATAATAATAATAATAATTATTATTATTTCTCAATTCAATTATGATTCTTTATCAAAAATGTTAAATTTCTTTTTATAATCAATTAATGCAAAAGAAAAAACTATTTTTCCAAATCGTTTCACAAAAATTAAAAAAAGAATTCCGAAGAAATCAAAATAAAAAAAAAATGAAAAAGAAATAATTACAAATTTCACAAATATAAAAAAAACATTAGAAATAATTGAAAATTAACAGGAAAAAAGAAAGTACTTTCTTTTTTATTATATTGACGAAAATCATATGGCTGAAAGTTCTGAACGTTCAAATATCAACAAAATCATTTTTTGGATCTATAAATATAATAAAATTACAACTATAATGAAAAAGTAAATTAATTCATTCAACATTTATTCCTTTAACACAAAAATCAATATTATATAATAAAATTTGAACCTAAATAACTAGTAAACAAATTTTTCGTTCATTGAACGTTCAGAACTTGCAAAACATCGAAAATCTCAAAAAAATAATACAAAAAATTGTTTGTAAATTATTTTGAAAGGGAAAAGTAAACAATCAAATTTCATTCATTAAAAAAAAACTCGTGGAACATAAAAAAACTTAACAGATTATTTAAACAACTTAATGTATCGTAACCCCAAAAATCACACACAGAAAAGAAATAGAAAAGACGAGAATCTTATCGACAAGTATACGAAGAAAACATATATATATATATTTCTATATCAATAAAATAGGAAAAAAAATTAGAATATTTCGACAGAAAGAAACTACAAAGAAAATTATTTTTTTATTTTCAATAAAAATTCCCCTTCTAATAATCTTGTAACAATCTTAAATTAAAAGAATCCGTTATGAAAATTTTTCCAATATCTCCGTCGATCAAAGCGAAAAGAAACAACAAAAAGGGCAAATTTCGGAGCAATGACAAAAGTCGTGAAAAAAAAAAGAAGACGCGTGGTTAAAGCGAAAAAGGAAAGCGCAACATTTCACAAACTAATGCAAATACTAATGAGTAACGGCGTAAAGAGGGCCAAGTAACGGAGTGATTAAAACTAAATGACAATACTTACTTATAGTCCTTAAAGATTTCGTTGGTCGCCTCACAATGATAGACCTCATCATCGGCCTTGTAATCCGTTGAGACGTGGAGCTTTTTAAAGGGTTCGTTGCGAAGCAGCGGCATTTTTCAAGTCCCTTTTTTGCCGCAGCTGCCGCAAATGATGTTTTTTTTTCCTCTCTCACCCACAAGAATCGCACAACAAAGTAACAAAACCGTTTTGTGAAATCGTTTCTCAACTTTGTGTGCGTGCCGCGAAAGACCACGTTCTGAATATATGCAGCCGAAAAAAAAAACGACTCACACACAATCGTTCACTTCTAACCGAACTACTATATATATGTGTAATACATATATACATATAACTCGATTTCTTTTTTTGACACTCAACTATTCGTTGCACATTAATAATTTCATTTGTTTAACATTCATCACTACATTAAACACACGAAAACAATGCAATTACTTGGAAACATGAACGTTTTTTTTAACTTTGCTCATGACAAAGCGTGATTTTTACGCGTTCTATGTGAGATGTGAAAGAAGCGCGCATTCACACCTGACACCATTTATTTCACAATTACTGCGCAATGAGATTTGCGCATTCAGAGAAAATTATTTAACCAATCATTGTGTATTTGATTCTTGGCGGTAAATTTAAATCACATGTATCATATTTGTATCTAGGGATTTATTTTACATTTTATAAATAAATTTCTAGTTAATTCTTAAGTTTTTGTGATAATTTTAATAAATTTTACAAATATTTGAAAAATGTGAGTCGTTTACGAAGTGAAAGAAAAGAAAAAGAGAAATTTTACTAACACATGCGCATTAACGATTAGGGTCACCATTTTTAAAACAGTTTTTAGGTTATGTTGGTATTGTAATCATTTTGTTATTTTTGCAAAGAATAAAATTATTAGTGCAACAAATCATGTGTGACTTTAAAATAGAATTAATTTTAAGAAATTAACTTCGAATTTTTTAAACAATCAAGATAAAAGAAAGTGTAATTTTTATTTACATGCAGCAATCGAATATTGGCGGGAAGTCGATAAACGTCGATTGTCAACCACGTGATTGAACGCGGGAAAAATAATGCAAATCTGTATTAAATTTAAAAATTGAATTAAAAAAAAATAATATTCAATTTTAAAATAACTGTAAATTAACTTTATAGCTTATTTAAAAATAAATTTAGAAAAAAAAAATTCAAAGTAAATATGATTTAATTTAATTTAATTTAAACTAAATATATAAATTTAAAATAAATAAACGATCAAAAAATAATTTAAAAATTGATAATTGTAACAAAAAAATATTAAATATAGAAAATAAATGAAAAATTTAGTAAATAAAATAAATAAAAAAACATTTTAGGAGAAAATAAATGAGTAGATAAATAAATGTTTTAAAAATAAAAACATTGTAAAATACATAACTATAATTAGGATGATTTTTTAGAAAACGCTGAACATATTGTAACATATAAAACGATTTAATATCTCAATGGTACAAAAGTGTATTCTTACAAAAATATTACACTTTCTGTGAAAACAAAACAAATAAGTATTATAACTTAAATTTAAAAATATTGAAATTCAATGAAGTACAATTTTTCCTAAAAAAAAAAAAAAAAAAAAAAAATTCAAAAATTAAAATTCTAACCACTGAGTGAAATAAAGACACTTTGACGGTGTAATTTCTCCCTCGTCGCAACAATTTTTCCTTACCTATAATGATAATACATTGTATTATGTTTTTAAAAATTAAAATGAATTTTTTTTAATTTAAAACCTTAAAATTGCACTTACAATGATTAAATTTAAATACATTAAAAAATATTTTATTGTTTATTATTTTCAAATTTAAATGGATTTCTTTTAATAAATTGCACGTAAATAATGGAAAATTGTGTAATTATTTGAATTTTTCAAAATTATAAAACAGATGTAATTACAAATTTTGAAAGAATAAAAATACATTTTTTTAAAACGTTTTTAGAGTAAAAAATCCCAACCATGAGAATAAATAAATTAAAAAATTGAATATCAAACATAAATGTATTTGAAAAAATGATATCTTTTTTTTATAAATAAATAATTACATGCAGATAAGCAGAAAAAAAGGATAAAGTGAAAAATAAATTCTAAAAATTTAATAAAAATCAAAAAATATATTAAATTCAGAATAAAATTTGTATAAAATGTTATATTCTCGTGTTTTCTTTAGAAATTAATAATTTAAAATTTTTAAAAAAATATTTAGATAAATAAATTTGTAATAATTTTTCTTTAATAAAAATATGATTTTTTTTTTTACTAACCGGACAGACACCACAAGGACTTCCTATTAAACCTGGAAAATCGAGCAAAGATTCCACAGCTCGATACATATTTGTTCTGTCGTTTGTCACAAGTTTTTCTGCTTTTCCATCATAAACTAATGTGTTTAAAATCATTTCTAAATCCTCAACTGTGAGATCGACCTAAAATTTTTATATTATTTAAAAAAAACAGAATTGAACGTACAGTCAAATAAAAAGTTAATTTTTTAAAAAAGTAATTTAAAAATTTTGTTGTTACATCAAAAATCAATGATTTTTTAATACTTATAAAATTCAATTATTTGCATATTTTCAATTAAAATTCCTTCGAAATTCAATTTATATTTAATTTTGAAAAAGTTTAATGAAATTCTTTTTAAAAAAAATTAAATTATTTTCAAAATTGAATTTACAAAACATTTCTAATGAAAATTTCTCTAAAATTCAATTATTTTTATAAATCTAAATTAAATTTTTTCCGATATTAATTGTATAAAGTTTTTCATAGATTCAAATATTTTCAAAATTTTTAGTTGAAAATTTTCTAAAATTGAATTATTGACCAAAAAATTAACTGCTAATCTTACCAAAATTTAATAAAATCAAAATTTTAGTAATTTTTTTTTTGTTGACAAATCAATTATTTTCAATGATTTTAATAAATCTCTTCAAAATTTAAATTATTTAAAAAAAATTGTATAAAAAATTTTTTTATATTCAATTATTGTTTGAAATTTATAAAAAAAATTTCAGTAATTCTAATTTACAAAAATTCCATTTTAATATGTCCTGAAATTCAATTAATTATAAAAATCTTAAATCTAGCTCTTCTCAAATTCAATTACTTATAAATTTTCATCGAATATTCTTTGCAAAAATGAATTATTTTTAAAAATTTTAATAAAGTTTCTCAAAAATTCTCTAAAACTTAATTATTGTTAAATATTTGTGAACAATCTTCAGCAATTCAAATTCATAAAAATTGCAATTTAAAATTTCCTGAAATTCTTCTAATTATAAAAATCTTAAATTCAATTATTAATAAATTTGTATCTCAAATTCTTGGCCAAATCAATTATTTTTAATAAAATTTTTTGTGTGTCCAATTATTTAAAAAAAAAATGTAAACTAAAAATTCTCTAAAATATCATTTTAGAAAATCAAGATTTTGTTTTAAAATTCAAAATACAATTTTAAAGTGAAAAATAAATTCAAGGAAAATTTTACCTGTTTCAAAAATCAATGTTTACTTTGAATAACAAATAAATAGAAAAAACAATTTGACAAAAAATAATAATTTTGTGATTTTTTTAAAGAGATTTTACAACTACTCATGAGTTCTGTTCAACATAAAGTAAAAAAATTTAATTTTGAGAGAATTATTCGTTTCTTTATTATTAAAAAAAAAAAAAATAACATTTTTTCTCTCTTATTTTACCTTACTAATATGCAAATCAGTGATATGTTTCCAAACATCAGTTGAACTAACATAGGAAACATTTCTTGACAATAATGGTCCATTCTTACAATCGGCCATTTTTGCCTTTTGTTTTTGTAAATATTTATAGCAAAAATCATTTAAAACATCGACAAATTCAACTTCAAAATCTTGATCCTGATACCATGCGCCACCAGTTATTGATCTATCTGGTTGAAGATCATAAAGCATATAAACTTTTTTCTTTCCAGCCGCAACTGATTTTATTGATTTTATAATTTTTTTATTCTCAAGACTTTTTAATATTTTATTCAATGAAATTTGATTGAGATTCGATTTAAATCTAATGTCCCTTATCCAAATTCCTTTATTGCCAGCTTCTTCAATAATTGAATAGACAATTTTCTCCTCATTATCAGAACCTTTGGCAAATCTTTCTTTTGTTGGATCTTTTAATTTATAAAGAAGTGTTTTATTAACGCCACTTGTAAATAATTCAATATTCCCCTGTGAAAGTAATTTATTTATCAATTCAGCTGTTTGCGATGGATTTAAATTTGGTAATGAAGCCGTTATGTCTTTATCTGAAAAGCCTTTTGGTTTCGATTGGGCCAATTCCAGTAATCTAATGGAAAGTTTGGGAAAAAAAATTCATTATAAACACAGAACTAAAAAAATTATTTTGTTAAAAAATCCGATTTTTTTTCATTAAAATTGATAAAAAATAATACAAACATTATAGGAAATATTTATATTTTAATGAAAAAAAATAAAATTTTTGTATTGACTGTCCAACAATTAGTATTTTTAAAAAATTGTTGAATTTTAAAAAGTCAATAATTCCTTATTATAGTTTGAATAACTATAACTTTTTCTATAGAATAGAATATAATTTTTATTTTATCAGAATGTCTAACAAATGCTAGGAAAAAAATTCCCTGACTTAAATTACACTAAAAAATTTTTATTTTGATCAAATAAAATTTATTTTGATAAAATTAAATAATTTACCTGTCTATTATCCACTAATTTCATATGTATTTGAACCAAATAAATAATATTTCGTAAAAAATAAAAATTTTAAGTGAAATAAATAAACTACCATTGGAGACGTATAAATATTCTCAACATTTAATTTAAAAGAATTTTTACGGGGCCAAATCTTAAATTATCAAATTTTTATTTATAGTAAAATTATATGAAGCAGATTTTCTAGTACATCGAATTTCAAATTAATACAATTTCAATTTAATGGAATTTATGATAAAAAAAATTGCATAAAGAACAATTTTTTTTAACAGTATTGTTATTTCAGTAAATTTCGATTTAGCAAAATATTTACTTAACAGAATTATTCATTGAATAAATCCACAATTAACAGAATTTTTATTTAACAAAATTCTTAATTAACAAAGTTTTTATTAAAGAAAATTTTAATTCCAACTAATTCTTATTTAACAGAATTCTCATTTAAGAAAAATTCTACTTAGTTCTTTTTTTGTCAATTTTTATAGACATAAATTTCGTTAAATTGAAATTATATTAATTTAAAATTTTAAAAAAGTATTAGAAAAAATGTTTTATGTTCTGCTAAATAGAAATTCTTTTAAATCGAATTTTAGTTAAATTTAAATTGAAAATTTTGCATAATATAAAATCCACTTTATACAATTTTGCTAAATAGAAATTCGATAATTTAATATTTGACGCCGTAAAAATTTTTATAAGTTAAATGTGGATATTAGCATTAAATAATAAATTATTTGTACTAATGAATAATTTACTTTATTTGAAGTTGAACCGATAAAATAAAATTGTATCAAATAATTTTTATTTATATTAAAAAAGCAAATATTTCACTGAAAAAAATTAATTAATTGTTATCCAAGTTTAAAAAATCATTTATTAGATTCAATAAATAGTAGTAAATAATTATTTACTTAATAAATATAAGATATATCACATGCTTAATAATTGAGTGTGAAGGCCAACTTTTTAATTTGCATTCGCTTTGGGAAAAAGGAAAAAAAATTTTTGAAACTAATAGTTACTTTAATTTATTTATAAAAAATTCCAGAAAATTAAACAAATTCCCTGACTTTTCCCTGATTTTTTCCTGACCATTTAAATTCCCTGATCGTTAGACATCCTGTTTATAAAAATTGTGAACTAAAATGATCCAAAAAGAAATGTTGATTTTTGAAACGACAATAACTTGATAATAATTTATTTTTTTACTTTTTTTAATTAATTTTTATTTACTTCTCAAATAAATCATTTTTCATTTTTGACCCTTTACACATACTTAAAATTTTTTGTTATTTTTATTTGAAAGTTGAGATTTTTTCCAATAAACTGTTTAAATATAAAAATGGGACAATTCAAAAAATTTTTTTTTTTTTAAATTGCAAAATTTGCAAAATAGGTAAAAAATGGCAAAAACAGTGTTAAGTACTTAAAGTATCAAAATGTCAACCCCCCACTACTTTCTGTAAATTTTTTTTTTTTTAAATTTAGATAATATTCTAGTAATAATTTTATGTTATTCTCAATTTTTTTTTAATTTTGTACCATTTGTAAATTTTGTTACATTGTTTTTTACATTTTGTATATAAATTTGTTTACTTCGTCGTATAATTTTATTAAGCTTGTAATTATAAAATATAAATAATTTCAAATTTTTATTAATTTATAATTATCATAGTTTTACTATTGATAAAATTTGTTTATATTTAAAATATTAATAACACTTTCAACTATACTTATACAACATTTAAAATAATATTAAATTACAAAAATTTTGTATATACAAAAGAGAATGTCCACTTACTTTTGTTCATCGAGACCAATAAATTCATTTTTACTTTGTTTACTAGATGATTCTTGGTAATCCATATTGTTAACTAAAAAAATACTAAAAATACGAAAAAAAAATTGAAAAACTTTGCAAAAGAGTTTTCACACACTTTACCCTGGGAAACATAACCCAAAAATTATTTTGACATTTTAATTGACGCTGCAAGTTGTTGTAGAAGTACCTTTACAATCCTACACAGCATGATAAAAACGTGGTAAATTTCAAAAATTGAATTAACAAAAAGTCAACGAGTGTGCTTCTTTTAAATTTATTATAATTATTTAATTAAAATATTTCATATAAAAATATTTAAATTATTATGTAAAATTAAAGAATTATTATTTATAAAATTGACTAATTTTAAGAATCACTGAATATAACAATTAGAATGTGAATACTAAAAATTTCTACGGGAACTTTCGATATCTCATTATTTCATCTTGACATAACCTAACTTTTTTTTGGTAAAAATTCGAAAACCTTGAAAACTATAAAAACTGTTAATAACAAAAGAAACGCATATAAAATATTTAAAATTTACTTTTAAAACAAACGATAAAAGTTTTAATTACTAATTAAAATATTCACCAATAAGAATTTAGCGAAAATTTTATCATGGAAGAGGCAAACGATACCGAAGAATTAGAAATCGGCGAGAGAACATGGAAAAGAGCTGTGGAATCGGCAGGAAAGGTAAAATAACATTTTTAATTTTTTTTAATTTTCGATTTTTTAATCAATATATTAATTTAATTATCATCGGCTTCGGAAAGATTTTAAGCCGCAAAAAAAATTTCATTCCATTAAAAACAAAAGTCACCAAAAAAAAGTCGATAAATTTTCAAATTATTTATAAAAATATTAAATTTTTCTTCAATTATTCAATCAATAATTTGATATTAAATTCAATTATTTAATCACAAATGCCTAATTGAATTTATCATCAAATAATTAATAAAATAATTTAAAATATCTTTAATATTATTATTCTCTAATCAAATAATTAAAATTATATTCAATTATAATTACATAAAAAAATTGGCAATATTTTCTTATATTTAATCAATTAAAATTACATATCTTGAATTATTCAAAAAAGTAATTGAAATTATCTGAAAAAAATTGATAAAATAATTGAAATTCAGTTAAAATATTTAATTAAATTACTAAATAATTTATCTTTATAATTATTCAATAAAATAATTAAAATTATCTTCAAATATTTAATTAAGGGCATTTCACGTGTGACGCACGGACGTTTGTATGACAAATTTTATTGTTTTAGCCTTTCTAGTAATTTCAAATGAATTGATAATACAAAAAGTCAATTAAAATTGAAAATCTAATGAGCAAATTTTTCTAAAACCTATGTTAAAAAATCTTTTTCTCCTTCTTTACACCTTTTTTTGGTTAAATTATGAAACGTGACGCACGGACGTTTTCTGGACACACCTTTCGACAGCTCGGTGTAATTTATAAATTTTCTGCGAATTGTAATATTTTAAAAATATTTAATATATACCAATATAATAAGTAATCCATGTAGAAGCAGTTTGAAAAAAATTAAAAAATTTTTAATAAATTTTGGGGAATCCACACGCATTTTATCATCGTGACGCACGGACTTGACTATTGTGACGCACGGACATTATTCGATTTTTTTATAGGAGTTTGTATTCAGATGTTACAAAATGTATAAAAGGATATGTTATAAATTAATATTTGAACAAATATTTACATGCTTTTATAAAAAAATAATTAATAATTATATCGATTAAATATATTGAATATAAATAATAATTTTTAATACCACAAATAGAACGAAATTATATTTATTTAAAGTTGTTGCTAGGTTTTACAGTATGTAGTTATAAATTATATTTATTGTTGAAGTTTGAAATGAGATACTTTTCATATAACATGACAAATAAGATTGTAAATTTATTAAAATAAATTAAAATAGAGCTACTTCTTGCTCTGTGGAAGAACGTGCGTGTTCTTTAACTCCCAAAACAGATCCATTTACAACACGGATAAAATGTTTTTAACCTAAAATTCTTGCAAGCTGTTGTATCTTTTTTCAAATTCATACGTTTCAATCTCATTCGATCTCTTTGTTTTACTTTATCTTCTTCACCTAAACCATTTTCTTTTCTGCGTTGCCTATATGCAGCTGCCCTTTGGGCCGCGGAAAGAGGTGAAGATTTTTTTGGTGTCATTTTGTTGTACACATTTCTCAAGTTTGTTATTGAAAATTTTTCCATTTATTAACCTCACTTCAAAAAAAAACAATTGAAATTTGTAACCTACAGATGGGTAACCTAACAATTTACACTTTTTTTGTCCGTGCGTCACGGTAATATCAGACATAATTTGTGTTAAGTCACAAAAATTTCTATGGGAAAATATTCAGGATAAAAAATTAGCTTTGTATCCGAGATTTCAAGTTATAAAGTGCAGTAGTAATTGCTGTAAATAAAAAAATGCATTTTTTTCGTGACGCACGGACATTGTTTTTTGAAATTTTAAAATACTTTTAAATATTAGAAATAATATAGAAAGAATAATTAAAAAACATTTTTTTGAGTTGTTTAGGAGTTGCACTACACGATACAAGTGAAAAATTATTTGTATAATGACCGTAAGTCTCTGAAATATAGTTTCGAAATATGCCTCTCAGTGCAAGGTGTTTTTCCGTTTGTACTCATCGTATATAAAAATACTTAAAATATAGTTTTTAAACTATTTTAATTAAAAATGTCTTTTGAATCATACAATTAAATGTATTTTGTTTACTAGGGACCATTTATTTAACACGTACAACTAAATTTAAAATTCCAACTCTATGTCCGTGTTTTCATGGAAATGCCCTTAATCCAAGACCTAAATTATTAGTATTAAAAAAAAAAATAAATAAAATCAGTTATTTAATATTTTTGAATTTTTTTTTCTTTATTAATCTACAGTCAGGATACCGAGAAGGTATGGACGATGGATCAGATGCAGTTCTTCAGGAAGGATTCGACGTGGGATACGCGGAAGCATTTAAAACAGCTTTTGCCCTCGGCATGTATAAATCAATGGCAAAAGCATTGCCGGACGATGTGAAAATTGCGCCGGAAATTGTGGAAATTTTAAGAACCACAGACACTGGCGCTTGTGTTTTATGCAAAACAGAACCAAGTGTTTCGTCTCGACGAAAAACAGAGGAAAAAACATTGGAACAAGTCTTAAAAGCACAACGTGAACATTCCGCTCATACAATAAAAACATTGTACGATTATTTTGTACCATTATTGAAACAACATAATGTTAAATTAGATCCAATGAAAATTGACGATCTTCCACATCCTGATCGCGATCTTTGAGAGTTTCAAATTGTGGAAAAATATATTTAAAAAAAAAAATCCACTATTTTTAAAAAAGTTTTTTCCAAACAAAAATTCTTATTAAAAAAAAAAAACAAGAATTTTCAATTGTTAAAAACATTGATAATTGTAAATAAAATAATGTGTATATATAAAAATTATTAATAATAATAAATATACAAAAAAATATTTTTTAAATTTTTTGACTACTTGAGCCTTTAAAAAAATTATCCTGATATTATTTTTTTTTTAAATAAATAAAGACGAGAGTTCAAGAAAAGTCAATAATTTGTAGATCGGCGTGTTTATTCTTATTTTTTTTTTTTTTTTTTTTTTTTTTTTTTGAGATACATCTAATAAGTGACAAATAACAGATTCTAAATTCGGTCGATGTTGTAGATTTAATTTTTTTTTTTGTTTCTTTGCTTCTCAGTGACGTTTTGTTCGTGCAAAGGTCGTCGGGATAAAAATAAATTACAAATTATTACGAAAAAAAAAATTATATAAATATTTCTTCGATTAACGATCTTGAGACGCAGCAGCCTCTTTTTTACGATCATTAAAATGATCTTCATATTAATTTAAAAAAAAAAAAAAAAACTTCAATTCGACAAATTTAATTACTGTTACAAAAATTGTTTTTTTTTAAAAATTGCATATTATTTTTTCAAATAATACAATTAGTAAGCCAAGAATTGCAAATGACTTCATCACTAATTAAATGTTAATCAGTGAAAAAATATTTAATTCACAATTTTCGACACAAAACGATTAAAAAATATTAAAATTCTTGCCGCTTTTTGTCTCTCGCTTTGAACTCATCCCATCACTGAGCATAAATTTCATACATTATTTACAGCACATCTTTGTCCAATGATTGTTCTCTCCTCTTATACTCCAGTTAACGTTGGGGGGATTCGAATTTTTCAAAAACAAAAGAAACAAAAAATTCGAGTCATTTTCCTTTTCTGAGATCGAATACGCAAAAAATTCTCAAAAAAAAGTTTTTTTTTTTTTACTTCTTCAGAGTTTTCTCGTCAACATTCTTTTCTGCAATCACAATCGAGCTAGCGACTCATTTCTGTACAGATAATAATAATAATAATAATAACAATAATAATAATAATAATTGGTTGGTATACTGGACACAAGAGGCGTATTTTTTCTTTTTCAAAGCGGTTCGAGCACTGATGTCCGCTTAGTTAATTTAAAGACCGGCTAAAATAATTCTTGGATCCTCGACAGCATCCTTGATTTTACGGAGGAACATAACTGCCTCACGGCCGTCGATCAATCGATGATCGTACGTCAGAGCAATGTACATCATTGGTCGAATCACAACCTGAAATACAAAGTTTTTTTTTTATCGACTTTAATTCATCCAAAATTATTTTTTGGTAGATTCCAAGTATTCTCGGAAATGAGAAGAAATTTCGGGTTGAAATTTTGAGGAATGATAAAAAAGAGTTGAAGGAATTGAGCCGTTCTACTTATTTACTGTAATTGAATGCGAAATAATTTTAAAAAGTAATGAATCATATTTTCCAAATTTCAACCAAAATTTTTTTACCATTTTAGAGAAAACTTGGAACTACGATACCATGTTTTTTACATGGGGGTCACGTGGGTATTTCTCACATGACCTTAAGAAAGAATCAAAGAATCGAAACAAAAATTAATTCAACTGTGTATTTTTGTATTTTTAAAAGAAAGGATCATTTAAATTTTAAAAAAACTTTCTAATTGTTTAAAATTTTTTAAATTAAATTATTGAAAATTTCACAGAAGCTTCTTTAAAATTTAAATCATCTTTTTCTTTAAAAATACAAAAATACACAGTTGAACTTAATAACTTAATTCTTTTGTTTTTTGTTATTACCAATCTAAATCTTCTGATTAAATTATATAAAAAAAATTATTTAAAATATAAATTAAAGTATGTGATTATGTTTGAATTAGTTAAAGAATAAAAATCACCATTACTTATAAAAATTTCGAGTAAAATTAATATTTCATTATTTAGAGTGTCCAAAAATTTTTGAAAAAAAAAATTCAAGGACTTTTTAAGGTTTTTCTACGTCCAAAATAATTTTTTTCAAGGTCCACTTTCGGTGTAGAAAGTATAACAAATTTTTTTATTTAATAATAAAGTAAGCTTTGTTTCTTAGTTTTTCTCAATAAATATAAAATAAATAATTATTAAATTAAATTAATTATTAATTTTAGAGAAAAAAAAAATATTAAATATCAAAAAACTTAACTTTTTCAAGAATGCTGATTTTTGTTATTATTTATCATGCAGTTTCTGATAATAAACAAAAAAATTGTTTTCCTTTGCATAAAAAATTCTTGCTTTAAAGGTTTTTGTAATATAAACATTCAGTTAAATTGAATTTCTGTTAAATAATAAATCGAAAAAATAAAAATTCGGTCGAAAGTAAATTCTGTATAATAAAATTCAATCAAATGAAAATTTTAACAAATTAATTTTAGAGCTTATACATGCGTCTCTTTATAAAAATGAAATTAGAAACAATTAATAATTATTAAATGACTAAAAAAAATTTTGTATCATCTCTTACTTGTCCTTTAACAGCGATTGGTCGGTCAAAGACTCCATGCATTCCTAAAATTGCACTTTGAGGTGGATTAATGATGGGTGTTCCCATGAGTGAGCCAAAAACTCCGCCATTGCTTATCGTGAATGTACCACCGTCCATGTCCTCAACGGTAATTTTTCCTTTTCGCGCCTTATCACCTATCGCTGCCAGGGCAATTTCAATTTCAGCGAAATTTTTATTTTCTATACTACGAAGAACAGGAACAACGAGACCCTTTGGTGTCGCGACTGCCACACTTATATCGACATAATCCCTATAGACAATGTCACCGCCATCAATCACAGCATTCACCACCGGTTGATCCTTTAAGGCATAAGCACTTGCCGCAAGAAAGGCGCTCATAAAGCCCAATTTCAGACCGTATTTCTTCATAAAGAGCTCTTGGCTTGATTTTCTAAAGTCCATCAAACGACTGAAATAAAAAAAATTTTTTTCTTTTAATTCCATATCAAATTGAGGAATAAACTCTATTCTTTTTCAGGGTTGACACAAAATTATTATTTTTTTCTCCTGACGTTTCCCTGATTTACAGTAATAATTAAAATTGTTTCTCTGATCCTAATGAAAATATTTCAAGAGGTTTTCAATAACAGGCCTCGGATTGCACGACTTTTTTGATATTTTAAAAATTTTTTAAAATTGAATTATTTAAAAAATATTCAAAAAAAATTGAATTATTATTTCTAAAAATTTTAATTCGAACTCTTCTAAAATACAATTATTTCTAAATTTTGTATCTAAAATTCTTTGTTGAATAATTTAATTTTAATAATTTTAATCAAGATTTTCGAAAATTCAATTATTTAAAACATTTTTCAATTCAAAATTCTCCAAAGTTTAATTATTGTTTAAAGCTTATAAAATATCTACAGAAATTCCAATTTAGGAAAATTTTCATTAAAAATCTCCTGAAATTCAATTAGTTCCAAAAATTATAACTATTGCTCTTCTAAAACTCAATTATTTCTAAAATTTTTAACTTCAATTTCTTTTTGAACTAATTATTTCTAATAATTTTAATCAAATTTATCAAAAATTCAATTATATAAAATGTTTTTAATTATTAATTCTTTAAAATTAAATTTTTGTTTATATATAATTTTTAAAAAATTTCAAAAATCGAAAATTCAATTTTTTAAAACATTTCTTAATTGAAAATTCTCTAAAATTCAATTATTTCTAAAAATTTTATTAAAAATTTTTCGCTAAATTAAATTTTTAAATTCCTTTAATAGAGTGTTTCAACAGTTCAGGAAAATAAAAAGTTTTTTAATTAAAAATACTCTAAAATTATATTATTCTTTAAAGTTTGTAAAAAAAACTTTATCAATTAAAATTTATGTAAGTCTCAATTTAAAATCTTCTGAAATTTAATTATTTTTAAAATTTTAATTAAAAATTAATTATTTTTTTTCAATAATATTTTAATGAAATTCTTCGAAAATTCAATTATTTCTGCACATTTTCCGAAATTCTGAAATCAAATAATGTGCATAAATCAGACTTGAAAAATTTTTCTTTTTTATATGTATTTTTAAATTATTTTTTAAAAATTGTTTTGCAATTGAATTGAAATCTTAAAAATTTATTTTAGTTTAATTCGGTGGTTTAAAAAGAAAAATTTTTGAAAATATTTCCGTGAAACATTCTTATTATAAGGAATTAATAAATTTTATTTAATTTCTAATAATAAATTGTTAATAATAATAAAATATTTATCTACTAATTAAATTTATGGAAAATAAGAAAATGGACTTTTTAGACATTTTTTAAAAATGTAAATCCACTGAAATGACTTTTTTTTCTTTCAAAAGTTGATCCGAGGCCTACAATTATAAAAAAAAATGTAAGACAATAAATTTTAGAGGCAAAAGTTTGAATTGAAAATTTCAAAAATTATAATTTTAATAGCATTTTTTAGAAATTTGATATTTTTCCAGTACTTTTCATAAACTACCCAGACTTTTCCATGATTTCTCTGAACCATGGCAACCATATTTTTATATTACATTTTTTAATATAGTTACTACTACTTTGTAGTGGATTTTAAATTTAATTAAATATAGCAAATGTGAATAAATTTAATAAACTATTATTATTAACCAACTAAAATTTAGTAATCCAAAAAAATTTTTTTCATCTATTCTATAAACAGAAATATATAAATGTTACCTCATATCGATTTCATTGAAAGTCGTAAGCATGGCATTTGTATTTTGTGCGTCCTTAAGTCTTTCGGCAATTCGCAAACGCATTCTATTCATTTTTACCCGTTGCTCCGTTCGCGTGCCAATTATTTCCCGAGAATAGTCCGTAGGTGGAAGTTGAACCTTCGCTCCTTCCAAGGACTGAAAACAGTAATTGAAAAATATTAAATATTTTTTTTCAATCAATAAAAGAGGTATTTAAAAAAAAATTAATAAAAAATAGAAAATAGCCAGTTTTAATAAATAAAAAGTACGGAAAAAAATTTATAAAATTAAATAAGAGAGAGAGAGTGGGACAAAGCGCCCTATTAACGGGTTTTCTTCTCTAGTAATCGAAAGAATAAAACAATTTTATATTTATAGTAAAATATATACACGTATGCTGTATTGTTAGGTTGCTCTATTAACTTTAAAAAAATTTGCAAACTGTACGATTTACCCCACCCCATGGGGTGAAGAAAACATACTTTAATTTTAAATTTCTATATTTTTTAAAAGAAAAATTAAAAATATAACTTAACAAATACAAAAACAAATTTTTCAATTTCAAAATTGAAATTTTCAATAATTTTCAAGAAAAATGAGTTTTTTAAAAAAATAAGAAAGTGATTGGCGTACAGTTTGCCCTACTCTCCTCTTTTAATAAATTCTATAGACCAAAATCATGACAAATTAACAAGGTTGACTAACTTCATGTTATAAATTTTATTGCTACTAAAATATTTTATTTATCAAAAAAAAAATAAAGGGATTTTTTCTTGAAAGTTATTTTTTAGAATTCCGTACACATTTCAGAATCCTATTAAAATCGAGCAGGGAACAAAATCGTTTATAGGTATAAGAAAATTTTGTAAATTTTTAAGTAAAAAAGTTATACTTGTTTTTTAAATAAAAACGCAAAACTGACGCATAAATACACTGCGCTACATTTTGTTCTTTAACTTTTTTTATTTCGTCGAATTTTGATTTAATATTTTGAGATTATATTTCCAAAATGATTTGGAACAGGAAAAAGCAAAAAAAAATCGATTTTTTTTACGGTATGAACTGTAATACTACAATAAATAAATAAATTACTGGAAATTAGTCAAATTACCTGAAATGAAATCGGTCTTAATTATTATTACGAAGTTGAAACTGGCATTCAGTTATCAGCATTAATTTTTCAAAATTAAATATTGAAGTTAAATGTTTTTCTTTTGTTTAGAAGTAAAATATAATTTTAAAAAATTGAGTGGTTGCTGATAAACTGGGTCCCAGTTTCAACATCACTTTATTATTACTTCTTTTTTTTTTAAATTGAGATTCTTTAAATATTTTTGAATGAGAGATAAAAAAGAAAACCTGAGCGTGTTTAATGGCAGCAACAGGCATTGAAGTCGCTGGCGCTTGCGGTGGTTGAGCACGAGGAGGAGGTGGTGGCGGTGGTGGAGGAGGAGGAGCCGCCGCTGCAGCAGCAGCAGGTGGAGGCGGTGGTGGAGCTGCCGCAGGTTTTGGAGCTTCCGCAACTGGAGGTGGTGGTGCAGCTTTTTCCGCAGCTGGCGCCGCTCCTCCCGTTGCTCCAATGTCCAACGAACATAATTTTTGACCAGGTTTCACCGTCTCGCCATCTTTGGCAAAAATTTCTTTCAAAACACCGTTTCCTGGTGCATTCACCGGAACTGACGTCTGTAATTGGAAAAAATATCACACATTAAATTAAAAGAAAAAAACTAAAAAAAAAAAATTCTTTAATAGAAAAAAGAAAACTAACGGAATTTTCACGAAATTGAAGAAAAAAAACAAGAAAAAATTTTATATTTAATTTATTCTTTAAATGGATCAAATTTTGACTAAAAACTTTTTTTATACATTGATCATTGAAAGTTAAATTTTTGGAATAAAAAATTATTTCAGGAAACATTTCAGGAAATTTTCCAGTATAAATATTTGCGAAATTAAAATAATTTTCTCACATACCTTATCGGTTTCAATTTCACAAAGAACATCATCTTCCTTGACTTGATCACCGGGTTTTTTATCCCACCTCACATCGCCTTCGGTTACACTTTCAGCTCCAAAAGGTGGAACAACAATATCTTTTACCTCCCCTAAAAAAAAAATTATCAAAATATATTATTAAATTTTTGAAAATCGTAATAATAATTTTTTTATAAAGATTCAAAAAAATAATTTTCTTTTTTAATTATTGATAATTACATAGCGCAGGCGATGAGCGGAAAAATCTTGTTTGTTGAATATTACAGCATTGGTTGTTATTGATATTTACATACCTGGTGATAAAAAAAAAGATAAGAACAATGATAATACAGAAGTATAAGTATAATGAATATTGTTATTACAACATCGACATTTTATTATATATTTCTAATTATTATTATTATTTCATTCTTGTGCCTCAACTTACTTTAGTGATTTCGGGTCGTGAAGACATCTAGTTCGAATAAATACACGTCCTTCACGATGAAAAGACCTTACCACCTGTAAAAAAAACAAAATATACCGTTAGTGCAAAACAAATAGAAATTAAAACCATTATGTAGGAAATTTATTATATAATTTGTAAAATAAAATATTATTAATATTGAGAAATTATCTAAAGTTTAATACAATTAATTATTTAATACAAAGAACTTTTCTTAAAGATTAATAATTGATATCAAATATTTTGAGAGACGATGTTTATTAGTGAAAGATTTGATCCTTTTGCATTCCACTGCATTCATTTGTTTAGACTAAGACTTTGTCGCCTTCCTAATCTATAGAATGAACCCATAATATTCTCCTTCAAATACTTTAGAAATTTAATTTAAAATACGAATCTTTAATTTTTCAAAAAGTTCACGTAAAAAAAATTTGTTAATACATATTTCAATTAGTTCTACGTTTTATTTAATTTATTTTTCTTTATTCAGGAAGAAGAAAATTAAATTTTTTTTTTGAATTGTGAGGATAAAATTGTATGTGAATGATAAATTAAAATTGAGTCATTTTTCTCTTGCGAAATCAACTGTACAGCGGTTTGTGAGACATAAATTATAATTGATCGAATCACATGTATACCTATATACAATAAATCAAAAAATATTTCAAAATAATATCGCGAATTTTAATAACATTTCATTTATAAGTTTTGAATTTTATAAATTGTTAAAGAAGAAAACTATTAAATTTTTTTCTCAAATTCAAATAATATTTATTTATTTATTATTTTTAATAATAATAATAATAATAATAATAATAATAATAATAAATATTATTATGGTTGGGATACACTTTTTCTAAAAAATAATTTCTGAATTTCTTTTGCTAAAATTTTTTTTCTAACAAAGTTTAATTTCTAAAATTGTTTTTTTTCTAACAACTATCAATTATTACTAAGTTGTTTTTTTTCTAACAAAGTCTACTAAAATTTATAACAGAAATTGATATTGCAGTTCTGCTAAAAATAAAATATAAATCATTTTTTGTTATTCGCCAGCAACTTCCGAGAAGTCTTATCAGTTATTTATTATAAACTCAAAATTCGTTGTGTCATTTTAATTTTAAAAAATTTCAAATTAACAAAAATTTAACAAAGACTTCATACTATTTTGTCTCGATATAATGATTATGCTGCAGATGATATTCTAAGTTTTCTTAGAAGTGTTGGCCATAACATAAATTTTTAATAAGAGTGACTGCAAATTATAATACAAACATTTCACCATTTTAAAAGAAACGTTTGAAAAATAAATTATTACTTTTAGTAAAATTTAAAAATATTTTTTAAAAATTGAATTTTGTGTTAGAAAAACTTTTTTTGGAAATCAAAACTTAGAAAAAATTTTTTCTAAAATCAAAACATGTTAGAAAATTTTTTTTTAGAAAACTGATTTCATTAGAAATAGCTTTTTTTTTAGAAAAAAAGGATTAGAAAATATTTTTTAGAAAAAGTGACCATTATTATTAAATAATAATAATTATTATTCTTGTTATTATGAATTAATTGTAATAATATAATAATTAACAGAATTTTATTTTTCACGGCATTAACTGTAGATCAAAAAAATATTTTCTATATTTTCAATTTTATTGAGTTTCTTAATATCCACAAACATTATCGTACATTTGTCATATTCCAAATATGTTCTCATTATTTACTTACATATGTAAACAAAAAAAAAAGTTATATCAATTCTTTTTATTTAGTAATTCTAATTTTTTTTTTTTTTGCTTCCTTTTATATTGTAATTGATTTTACGTAAATTTTTTTTCAGGGTTTATCGAAAACATGATTAAAAAAAGAAAATCCGATTTCTTTGATTTAAATCAAATTTCTCTTTATTTAAAAAGTAAAATTAGTATAAAGTAAAATTTTAAAAAAGGTAATTTGTAAATAGTTTTTTTCTTTTAATAAATATTTAAACGATAAATTTAATACATCAAGGAATCAAAATATATTCATATTTTTATCAAAGAAAATAACATTTTTGAATTAAAAAATAAAAATTCATGTTCTTTAAAATTATCGATTTTTAAAACGTCAATAATTCCGCAATATTATACCGTAAACAGTTTAAATAAGAATTTTTTAAAAAAATATTAAACTAAAATTATCCAAAAAGAAAGTTTTTTTTTAATGTTTTGATTTTTGAAACATCAAAACTTTGTAATAATCCACATAAAAATTTTACAAATAATATTTTGACATAACATTATAAACATTTTTAAACAAATATTTCAAAAATTCATGTTTTAAAAAATCTTTTATTCTAAAAAAGTAAAAAAACTTTGGATAATTAGTAGATTTAAAAACGAAAATGACTTCTTGCTTTAAAATAGTATTATTAGAAAATAACAAAATCCAGTCAAATTTAAAAATATCTCTCTCTCTGACGAATGACATCACATTAATTTTTTTTTGTCTCCTTTTTAAATATAACAGACTGAAAATTTCAGTTTCGTAAAAAAAAATAATCAGGAAAAATTAAAATTTATAAAATAATTAATAAGATCTGTCAAAATGAAACGATACATTGAAGAGAAAATTATTACTGTATAAGGGCGGGTGAAAAAATGGATCAAAAAGAGGTTATAATTCCTCGTGTATGAACGATGAGATAACAGTAGGATCTTAATTTGACAGTATATATATTTTCAATGAGGTGAAGGTGATTATTTGGTTATGTAACTTTTGAAGGTGATGTTTTAACTTTAAATTAACCTCTTTTTGCCGGTGATGAATTTTATTTAAGAAAACAAAAAATGGGTCATCGACAGGTCCGTGTCTCGATGTCAATTTAGATGTAATAATAAATTCATGTTTTTCCCCCAAGGGTGGCAAACCAAATGGCGAAATATAATTTTACATGTATATAATATATTATTTTTTTGAATGAAAAATTCAGTAATTCTTACCTTAGATTGAGATAGTGTTAGACGTGTCAAAGCACGAGGTGCAAGACGCGAACAATTGGACAGCATCGCGGCCATCCTCGGGCAGAAAAACTAGCCCGTTGCCCCGTTCTCGTGACTGTGAAAATACACACCGTACAAAACAGGGCCGTAAGAAGTTTTTGTTAAACACCGACGGTGGGGTTGATGGACGGGTGTTGCTTCTCGCCTTCAAGAACAATTTTGTTCACCAGGTGATGCAACGTTGACAAGTTTTCTTCGTTTCTTCACAGATGGCATTGATAGTAAGAAGCAGGGTTGGGAAAGTAAAACATATATAAAGTATCATCTCTTGCAGATTCCATGAAGGATTAAAATTCTTCTGCTCTTTTTATTTGTATTTTTTTTTGCGCCTACTTTCTATATCCCTTTTTGTATTATTTTATCAAACATTTAATTTAGTTTTCTGGTTTTTATTATTATATATTATTTGCCGCGATTACTGTGAATTTACATGTACTATATGTACAATTTAGATTTTACCGATTTTGACATGTAAAAGTAGCTTAAATAGAAATATACTTCAAGCGTAGTTAATAATTATTAAAAAACAAAATAGTATTATTTCCAGTTTATTTCTTATTTTTACATAAACAATAAAAATAATTTCGCTTTCTTAAACAAAAAGTACATAAAAATTGCTATATACTTGGCGATTTCGTGCGGACTTTGTTTAATTATACAAATATGAATTTAGATTTTCAAAATTCAAAATGACGGTTATAAAATGGCAGCCTTTTTTAAATATTGAATTCGTTTATGAAACTTAAAGGCACTCTCACACCTTTTTGGCTGCCTGCCTGCCTGCAGGTTACCATGTCAACGCACGAGTGTGAGTGAGACAGAAAATTTGAATATTCAAATTCTTAAATTTTCTGTCGCACTCACTCTTATACGTTGCCATAGTAACCTGCAGGCAGCCAAAAAGGTGTGAGAGTGCCTTAATCCTTCAAGGCCTGAATTTTTATAAGTAATACAATTTTGGATATCATGTGTACATAAGGGTTTTCATTGCCGCTGATTACGAATTCGAGGTCAGTTTTTAAAAATACAAAATGGCGGGTCAAATATGGCGGCTGAAAAAAATTAAAAGTTGAGCTAAAGTTCCTGAAAATGACTTCTTTAGGGGTTTTTGAGGTCGCTGATTACAAATCCGAGGTCAGTTTTGAAAAATACAAAATGGCGGATTAAACATGGCTGCTGAAAAAAATTAAATTTAAACTAAGTTCTCGAAAATGACTACTGAGGGATTTTTGGGGTCGCTGATTACGAAGCCGAGGTCAGTTTCTAAAAATACAAAATGGCGGATCCAATATGGCGGCTGAAAAAAATAAACATTGAGCTAAGCTCTTGAAAATGATTTTTCGGGGGTTTTTAGGGTCGTAAATTACTGATCTAAGATCAGTTTTAAAAGATTGTTTCAAATTTCATTTTCAGGAGCTTAGCTCAACTTTTAATTTTCTTTGGCCGCCATATTCGATCCGCCATTTTGTATTTTTCAAAACTAACCGAAAAGTCATTTTCAGGATCTTATCTCAACGTTTACTTTTTTCGGACTCCATATTAGATCCGCCATTTTGTATCCCAGTAAAAAATAAAAGATACAAGAAAAGTGGATTCCGGTTACAAGCTCAATAGCTGGTAAAAGAATCCGTGAGAATCTCAGATACAAGCACTTTTCGGTATCCGAAATGCTCATAAGCTTGTAAACGCACTGAAACGAACGACTTTTGTAGGACTTTTAATGAAGAAAAACAAGTAAATGAATGCAGAAACGATGGGAAATTAAATTAGAAGCAAAAATAAATAATTATTTATTAAAGAAACGTACACTTAAACAAAAAACAATTATTTTTACTAATTCTAACTTCTGCATTAAAAACATTGTGAAAGCAGTGTTTTGTTGGTAATTTTACCTTGTTATTCGGAAAATATGGTTTTCTATCTTACCGACATTGGATATTAATTTAACGCGGTGTTTTCGATTTTCTAATTTCAAAAGCAATTCAAAATAATCAAAATGTTATTAAACATAATTAAGTGCTTATTTTTAATTTCCTTTACCACTGTTTATTAAATAATTTTGGATTTCTATTGAAATTGAAAATTCGACAAAACCTGCGTTAAATTAATATCCAATGTCGGTAAGGTAGAAAACCATATTTTCCCAATAACAAGGTAAAATTACCAACAAAACACTGTTTTCCCAATATTTTTAATGCAGGGGTTAGAATTTGTAAGAATAATTGTTTTATGTTTAAATGTATGTTTCTTTAATAAAGAATCATTTATTTTTGCTACTAATTTCATTTCCCATCGTTTCTGGATCCATTTAATTGCTTTTTCTTGATTAAAAGCTTTACAAAAGTCGTCCGTTTCAGTGCGTTTACAAGCTTTACATCATTTCGAATACCGAAAACCCGAAAACTGCTCTTATCCGAGATTCTCACGGATTCGTTTACCAGCTATTGATCTTGTAACCGGAATCCGCTGTTCTTGCATCTTTTATTTTTTACTGGGATTTTTAGAAACAAAAGGCCTAAGCAGAATAGCTTCGAGAAAGACGTTCGCGAACGTGAAACATGAGTTAGAAAAGGACAGAGATATAATTGTATCCTTTTCTATCTCATGCATCTCGTTCACGAACGACTTTCGCGAATCTGTTGTGCGTTGGCCTTAACCTTGGATTCGTAATCAGCGACCCCAAAACAACTATTTTGATTAATGTCGTAAAAATAAGGGTAGTTTTTACTTTAGGAGGTATATTGTATATACTATTAATTTTTGAATTGGAACTATTTGATGATTATGAATATCAAGTCTGAAATTGTTGAAAATTTGTAATTCTTTTCTTTTTAAGGGTATGTTGGATAGTTAATTCAGCGGCCACTCGCTCGAATTGGCGCTGTTTACTGGAGCACTGACACACTCAAGCAACGTCTGTGTATGCGCCGCCATCTTTGTTTTCATTTTCGTTTAAAAATGTCACTTTTTAAACTTCATTTTTTAATAATTTAACACAAAATTATGTATTTTCCGGAGAACAGCGAGATTCCTTAAACCCAAACCCAAAATTAATGCATTTTAAAGAAATTTATGAGCATTCAAAAATAAAAAATCATTAAAATTCTCCAATTTTGAAAAATTCATATACATATCGTAAATGGTTGAATCAACAAATTTGAAAAAAAAATCTCCCAGTATAAAATTTCAGTCCCGATTTTCTCCCGTTTGAAATTTTTCCCGCTTCTTCCGGTTGGGTGAAGTCAACTCTATTATTTTTTCAAAAAAAAAAAACTATAATTTTGTTATTCACCGCATTTTGTAATGCCACACGAATTTCGCTACTAACAATTCTCCAATAAATACAATAATAGACATTCCAAATCCAACGAGAAGTAATCCAAAAATAACAAATTTACTCGTAATCTTCTCATCGTCTTTCATTTTATCAAAAAATTGTCTATCGTGAAATAAAAATTCTCTCTTCATTTGATTTCTAATGCCTGACTGTACCAATAATTGAAATATTTTCTGAAATTTTTCAACATACAGCGATCCAGGCTCAAGTAATAGTGCATTAATGCCCGATTGCACAAATTCTGGTACAATTTTTATCAATGAATTTCCATTCTCATCTAAAATAGTATTCATCAGCCAATCAGCTATTGTTTTTTTCACAAAACACGTTCTATTCTTCATTTCCAATAAACTCCTTAAGGCCAGGTCCAAGTGAGGCAGCGCCATCTACATTGAAACTAAAATTTTGGAAAATTTTCAACAGCCTTTTCTTGAAAACAAGATGGTAAAATGCTTTTTCCTTTAGAGATAATAATTGATTATTGGCAAGATATACACCAGCTAAAACTTTTTTTGAGTTAAAATAATAAAAAAAATTTCATGTCAATAAATTAAATATGAGCACTTTTTTCAAAAAACTGTAACAGTACTTTCTCAGAAATTACAATCAAAAATGCAATTTTCATTTGGAAAATTAATAAACGCTAAAAAATACACGACCTAAGATTTACCAATCACGAAAATAACAAAAAAAATTTTATTAAATATTTAACATATTGATACTGGTTTACTGATTGTGACAGCCCTTTGGTAGATTATGTATTTCAGGTGGTTAGCAACAGCGCCAATCTCCTCCTTTCGGCAAAACTGCGAAACGTCTGCTGACATATATAACCTGCCAAACGGCTGTCATAATGAGTAAAATATGTTATGTTAAAATACTTTTTTTTTTGTTATTTTCGTGATTGGTAAATCTTAGGTCGTGTATTTTTTAGCGTTTATTAATTTTCCAAATGAAAATTGCATTTTTGATTGTAATTTCTGAGAAAGTACTGTTACAGTTTTTGTGAAAAAAGTGCTCATATTTAATTTCCCAGTAAAAAAAAAAGTATAGACAGTAAGGAAAAAGTATAGACTCATAGCTTAGTGGCTATACCGTTCGGCATGTAATGACGGTATAGAGACGTTACGGTGTATACTTTTTTCTTACCGTGAATACGGTTCACCTGGATTTTTTGAATTGATGTGTATTAACGCGATTTGACATTGTCAATGAAAAAGCCGATTGTTTTGAAGTGTAATAATGCCGATTACGAGGAGGAGCGACGAAATTTTATCTAAAAGTTAAAAAGGTAAATGTGACAGGCACGAGACCTGCGAGAGTTGTTACCACTGGATTGAGGAAATGCATCATTACTGACAAAAAGTATTCGACAGAAACTTACCGACAGAAAGTTACTAGGAAGAGCGGCAAATTCAAATGGTCAAATTAAATTCGAATGAATATATACATAATTTAATGTAGTTTTTTTATTTTAAATCAAGTATAGTATTTTAAATAATTAAATACCGATATTAAATAATTAATGTTTATTATAAAAATTGACATATAGACATGAAAATTTTTTCATTTTTAGCATTTAAATCTGTGAAATAATGAAATATTGTAATTTTATTTTTTAATTTCATAAAATTTTTATTTTTTATTAATTATTAATAATTAAATTTTTTTCATAAAAATAAAAATGTACTGCAAAGAATATGTTTTATGCATTGAAAAATAAAAATTTGTTAAAATATATTATTTCTATATTTTGTAAATAAAGTTATTTATTAAAATAATTTTTTTATTTATAAAATTGAAATAGATTAAAAAATTAATGTTTTAAATTAAAAATTTTTTATTT